TCGCAAAACGATTTCTGATTCTAAAGAAACATTTCAAGCAACTCCTTCACTTACAATCAGGCACCGTATCCATCAAACGAGCGCTCAGATGTTTTTCACAGTGCAGGCAGGTATACGTGAAGGTACACGAACGAAACACTCGCAACAACATCTTCAACAGCGTTTCCTTGTTTACGAGGTGAAAAATAATTTTTCGAATGTACTTTTGAGATATTTATAGGTGGAAAAAAGACTTGCGTGATGAGTTAACGAAAAGGCAGCACTGAATTATCTTCAATTGATTGAAGTTTTTAATGAGAAAAAAAAACACACACTACACTTAGTAATTAAAAGCCTTTAACTAAAAATAACCTTAAATCAATTCTTTAAAATAACACACACAGTGGCGTATCTAGCACGGCGTAACTTTGACAGGGAAGGGGGGGGCAAAGTTTTAAAAATGTTTTAGTTTTGATTGGAGGGGCCAAGATTTGTGGTTCGATTTTATACATAAAAACGGTTTTTTTTCTGACTTTTATTAAAAGAACTGCTTCCTCCTAGATTTGTCACTTATTTATTTATTTATTATTATTTATAATAATATTTATAAATCACTTATTTACTTATTTATATTATTGTTTATTATTAATTACATAAAATTTTGTTTTTACGATACAACGATGTATATGCGTTTATAATAATTATAGCATAATAGCATATATAAATTTGAAAAATTAAAAAACAGATTGGTTTTATGATGTTATATTATGGAAAGCAATGATTTTTCACAATATTCACCATTTGAATAGCCAAACTGCAGCGATGAAACACCGCTATGTAAATAATTTTACATTTTTAATCTTAACTATTTGGCTGGATTTTATAGAAAGACTGACAGACACAGGACAAACTGACAGACAGACGGACGGACGGACACACACACAAACACACACACACACACACATATATATATATATATATAATATATATATATATATATCTGCATATACATTCATATTTATAATTTTGTACATTTGCACTTATTATTCTTCCTTATCATTTATCGCTCACTTTTTAAAATGTTATTCTGAAACGAATTTTGGACGACGTCTGTCTCTAGCGACCGTACAACGTGTATTCATCATAATTACCTTTGTAAATGAGAGTGTAAATTATTCAGCGTGAAGTAGACACAGACGGGAGAGAGATTAGTGATTTGTTAATGACCAGTTGCGATTGGTTTGTCGGTTGGATTTGGCTCTGGCGCGGATTTCAGTGCTCCTGAATTATTAATGGAGACCATTTGGAAGAAATAACACAACATTGTTTTAGTGATATGATAATTGATTAAATTCATATGTATATAAAGATAATAATCGTTTAAAGTTGGTTCGCATGTGGTTAGAAACATTTGTTAACTGATACGAAAAAGGTATACAAATGTCTTTGTTTGCATTTTCAAATGCAATTGTTCAATGTCTTTTAATTAAAATAATTTCATTTTATTTTTTCATCAAACGGGATTTTTGTTAATTTACTCGGATACGACAATTTTTATCAAATAATGCAAAATCTTATTAAAATATAACCATTGGGATTTTTAAATTATCACAACCGCTGCACAGATGCTTACAGATTCAGTAATAAATGAATGTAAGAAAAATTTTCACAGTTTTTACAGCTTCCTAAAAAAATTTATTTTTTCACGTTCACGAGTCAGCGTTATCAATCTACAGTGACTGTTAAAAATATCAACTTGATCGTTGTATTTCATAAAATTTTTACAGGACAAAAATGTTTTCAATTATAATTTTTGGAAATTGTGCAAGCAAGCACCTTGAAACTTTCATTATAAATATAGATGTAGATTTAATATATATTGTTTTATTTTTTTATATTTTCAATGTGTGCGTGCACGCACATGCGTGCGTCTGTTTGTTTGGGTTTTTTGCCTGTATGTAAGTTTATCATTCTTTATATATGTTAAGTATCTACTGAGATTATTAGAGCCGCACATGTTCATATAACACAAACAAGCTTTCAATGATAAAAATTTCAAAAATAGATTTTAATTAAATATCCACATTTCAGTCCGTAGTTGCCAAGGGTAAAATAGACAGCCCTCATTGGATGACTCTGAAGTCGTTGTATATAAACAAACGGATGGATGTTTTTGTGAGAGAGTTTCGTTTTAATAGACGGTGTTGTATATTTATTCATTCCCCTGTGTTGTACATTTAAAAAGCATTTTGAGCAGTTTTCTGCAGATTTTTAAAAATTAAAAACTATTAGATTTTTAACTGATTTATCAAATGTTATCGTCTACTTGCTGCTGTTTTATAAAATAACACAAAAACTCGTGGTTATAAATAAAAGGTAGAAGTTTTTTCATCGAGTGTGTCTAGAACTTTATGAAAGTGTATAAGTTGGGATAAAAAGCTAACCGTCGTAACAAAAAATCGTTTAATTGAATTAAATTGCTTATTGAAGAAAGTTAACACGTTGAAATTTTGTAAGAAAGCATTAATTTGGAATAATGTTTAGATTAATTTTCTATATATGTAATCTGTTGCTGATTGTCAATGCTGTTAACTTTAACAAATTGAAAACTGCTGATGGAACTCTACACGAATTTGACGGCGAAGTGAATGTCTCCCAGCTGAACAACATTGAGCACCGGTTGAGAATGAAAAGAGATTACAACATCGACGATTCCGACGAGTTCCTCGCGTACATCAACAAAAATTATGAAAAATCCAAGTTTAAATTTGATTGGGTGGAGATGAATAAAACCCTCTATAAAGTAAATGATTACAACTCCTGCAACGTTGAGGATGTTGATGAAGAGTACGAGGAAATCTTCGAAGAAATTCGATCCTTTGATGTACAGTACAGCATTTTGCAGGCAGTAATAAAAGATAAAATTTCTCACCAGAAATATTTGAAACAATTAAATGAAACCTTCATAAAACGTCTTAATGCGATAGAGGATAGGAAACGATCGAAAATAACATCGAACATTAGTAAGCTGTAGATTTTTCAAATATGCCTTTCATTTTAATTAACAGTTTTATGACTCGACAAGAAGCATTAATTATTTTGTTGAACACGTTTCAAGTTGCCACGTCATCCGACAAGTCGCTGGTCCTCATAGAGTTCAACAACAACTTGCGAATGGATCATCTGGCTCCTGTCTTCTTGAAACTGCACGCTTCCTCCCTGAAGGCCGTCAACATCTTCGAAGTCGACCACGTCAAGAAACGAAAGACGCAGCTATTCAAATTTAAAACTAACACTCGGAGCCTAACAGAATTTGATATTGCAGCAGTATTCTATAACCAAGATATATCTGAAAAAAGGTTAAGTTATATTATTATTTTACTACGTTGTTAAACATTACAATATGAATATTAACACAATTTTATAATTGGATTTTTAGTCACACGATTTGTTTTTCAATTGTTTTCTTCAATATGTTTTCAAAATTTATCAACATATCGTCTTATGCTAAACCAATAAATAATACCTATGCTCAACTGTTGAACAAAATTATTAATTACAATTTCATGAAGTTTCACGTAGATGTTCATTTATTTTACATTCAACATTAAAATTTTAATTACTCGTCACTGCAGCAGTCTACTGTTCCTGTTAGAATTAGTTTGGAAGAAAAACTCTGAAATGGGGATAAAGAGCTTATTAAGTGACCCGCCTACGCTCAGTTATGTGAAGCATTGCACGAAAAGAAGTAAGAGGTACGTCCACCTTAACCCCTGCCATCGGAGGGAACTCTGGATCAACTTCCACGACAACAAATGGGACTTTATGATGTTACCGCATGCCATTGATTTTGGACTCTGCAAAGGCACTTGTGATAGTTAGATTTGTTCATGTTTCTTTTGTTTTTTGAGACTAAACTTTGAAAGTTATGAAAAGGTATTTTTGATCTTCAATAATTTGTCCTTAATACATTTTTAAATATCAGTCAGTGCGGGACACGAAACAGTGATAAGTAACGTAAACCAATACATCTTGAGAAATCATTTAACGAGGCTGGAGAAGAAATTGGGTCCAAACATGAAAATAAAATCGCCTTTCTGCTGCGTGCCAATCAGTTTCGCCAATGCTTCATTTCTAATAATGACACAAGAAGGAGAAAGTAAAATTGCTCTGTCACGTCTACTCATCGATAAATGTGGATGCTTGTAAGCAACGATTGAATGAATGTTCCGCATTGAATGATCGAGATTTTTTTATGCACCATCCACATGACTTTCTTATTTTATATTTATTTGAAATATGTCCTCTTAATTCAATGAAATAAGTCTTTTTGGCTACCCCTATATATATATATATATATATATATACATATTAAAATAATATATATATCTATATTTATGTGTGTGTGTGTGTGTGTGTGTTTGTTTGTTTGTGTATGTTGTGTACATGTAAATTTTACATTCAATCATAAATTTGCATACATAAGTATGCCGTTTATAAATGTTGTCGATTATGACGTCACTCATTGATTTAAAAACTTTTGAACAAATTGATATGTGCAGTGCACGTTCATTCTTATAAATTTGAATGCGCTGCGGTTTCGTTGAAAATATTAAAAACCAACATTGATGGTAACAAACGTATTATTAATTAATTAATACTGGGTCATTCTAATTTTCAGAACTGATTAAGAATTTTTTTAGGGAAATTATAAAAAATATCTGGTATATGACAAGAATGAAACGTATTTTCCTTAAAGCGGCCCACAAATCATTTGGGCAGCAAAGATAGTAACCTCGAAACCAGGCCTGCGCACATCTCCTGTCCTTATACACCCTCACTCGCACAAATCACACGCAGGACGTCTTCGAAAAAAAATATTTGGCAGCAGACAATAGTGCAGTAATAACGTGGAGAGATATGGCGATTGTGGCTCCCCTATCACCTCAGCCCATTCGAATAAATAAAAATCAACAAAATAATTTTTTTGAAAAAACAAAGTGAATAAGAATAATAATGAATCAAGCTCCTTCTTGTTCGTCGCTGGCCTCCTCTTCTTCCTCTTTGGTATTTACTACTTTTTGTTTTATCAAGTCGATGAACCGTACTTTCGTCTTGTGGAACTTCAAACCGGAGCACTTGGTCTTCATTTCATGGATGAAGGCCATCAGCAACTTGAAGTCTCTGTTCTTCGCCTTCATGAGTACGCTCTGCAAATTATTTTCGGGAGTAGCTACAAATCGCAAAAAGACATTATTCAATAACACGATAGTAAGGTTAAATAAATCATTATAAAATTAATTTAGATTTGAATTTCCTACTTGGCGATACTTGCTCCTAATGAGCGCACACGTCAGACAGCAGATGATAAGTTTGATAACTTGATTGAAGAAGAGAGCGAAACATTCATAATGAGATCTCTGCACGATGTTACACAGTCGTTTGGTGTAAATTAAATCAAATCCTGTGTTCATAATTGCTTTAGAATAAACTTCGTACTCTTCTACAAACCTGACGATTTATAAAAGTGGTGGAAAAAACCTTAAAAAATAAAATGAAAACGATTTTTAAAATGTATCGACAACCTTGGGTACTTGATGCTTTTGTAGGCAACCAGGCCCAAAACAAATGGCAAACATTTCATAATGATGAGTGTAGAAGGGATGATTGATTTGAGAGAGCAAGTAAGAAACATATTTATTCTGTCATCTAGTTTGCCGATCTCCAGCAGTTTAATGAGGCAGAGGAATGTAACGAGATGCATCAGCAAGTATATGCCCTGTGCAAAGTTATGCAAACAACAACAACAATTATTTCAAAATTGAGATCATTATTTATTTTAGCAATATTTAACACACTTTGGAGCAAATCGACAAAAATTTGACCGCGAATCAATAAACTGAGCAAAAACATTTGAAAACTTGGAAACAAATTAAAAGTAATGCTTATGCATTTGACAGGTTATTTAAATTTCATTCCAAAGTTAGATAAACGACATTTAAGCAAACAATTTGATAAAATAACATTATTATTATTGTTGACAAGCTGATTCATAAACATGAATGACAAACACTAACATCAACTCCGCTCATGTAGAAAAGAGTGGAGAGTTCACCGTTATCTCTGAAGAAACTGTCAAGTGCCGCTGGCATGCCAATTAAGACCACGCACAAGAGTATGATCAAAATGAGTACAATTAGAGATATGATGAGGTCCAAAATGTTCCAAATGCTCGTGAAGTAGTCTCCAGCCCCCAAGTAAAAAAATTTCCTCACATTTCTGAATATGAAAAAAGCAAACGCCGGCCAGAAGACGGCCATGCTGAACATCACGTAGATTCGATTGTAGGGTAGCGGCATTTCAGAAATAATTGAAATCTATTGGTAAATAAAATTATGTAGAAATATTTCTCTTTCGAAAATAATATTTACTTAAAATTTATAATTCTGAATAACATTCCTTAAAAACATGTTCGTTGATTAGGAATGAAACTCATACAATTTCAAGTATTTCAATTATTAGGTAAATTTCCAATTATTTATTAAAATGACAGTAACATATTTTACTGTTTAATCAAACCAATAAAAAAATATTAGTGAAACACATGCACTTAAGTTATCAAGCCTGAACTTACAGTTTCAAGTTTAACTTTGGTGCCACCACCGAGCGGTTGCATGACAGTCGCAAATATCCAAGCTATCGACCGCACGTTGCAGAAGTATAAATAAAACGTGAAGCCCATGCCAATGTGGTTGCTGTTTAGGAAGTTTACACTTTTTGACCTTCGAGCAAATATCAGCGCCAAACGTTTGTCGTAGCCCAGGCAAGCGGTTTCATAGGCCAACCATTCAGGTGCCGACATGTATTCGGACCACAAATTCATTTTACCTGCATCCATATTCATTCAACATTAAATGTTTTTAAAAATTAATATTATTCCGCTGCAATGACGTTTCATTTTTATTACATTTTAAGTTTTATTTCTAGAAAAATAAAATCTATCCGTTACTGGGGAATGATTGATAAGCTAGTGATGCAGATTCCAAAATGAATAACTCAATGGAGACTGACCGTCCTTCAGGATGATTTTAGTGAAGCACGGATAGTTGATGGCATGGCCTGACACGCCGTTCATTTCTTTGAAATTGTGCAACCGACTGAAAAATAAAGTGCTGGAACTTTCGACATCGTCCACTGGATAAGCAAGTTGAATGAAATGATCTTCCAACCAGGAATAAAAATCTTCCCTCGTGTTGATCTAACGAAGAATTATTATTTACCATTAAGTTTTATACATTATATTTTTTATTTTGGTTAAAAAATTTCAAGTAAACCGCTCGAAATCTCTTTCCGAAGAAAACTTCATCAATCGTCTGCGTCAATAAGCTTGTGTCAAAATCATAAACGGAAAAAGAAATGACCAATCCGCAGAGTGCCAAATAAGTGTAAATAATAATGTTCAAAACGAGGTATCTTGATTCTAAAAACTTCTTTTCAAATTTAATTTTTCTTTTGGCTTTTGAAGTTAGCTTGTAGCGAGGGTCAACCCGCAGTTTTGTAACTCTCTTTCGATGCAGTTCATATTGATTTTTGAGATCTATGTCAGGAAAAATTGTTGGCGTTATACAATTAATTATATATACAAATTGAAATTTTAATAAATTTTAACTTACCATTTTGAACAATAAATATTTGTTTTATTCGAAAAATAAAAAAGACAAAAAGTCTCCATTCAGCGCACGATCCACCCACCGATCAGCGACTCATTCCTTATAATCCTCAAGCGAGACACAGTGAACTTGGTGTACTGCTTGGTCATCAAGGAGAAGAGGAACGCTAGGAATATGATGACGGCCGGATCGATGAGGAAGATGTTGCAACATAACGTTGCAAACACTTTCAGGTACCATTTGAAATTTATTTCGTGTGAGTACTAAATCGTGTGTTATTCATTAAAACTTGAACAATTGATAAATCATTTAATAATTAAAATATAAAATAAATATCACATATGTTATATATATATATATTTATTTACAATATTCTATAAATTCTACCGAATGTTTGGCGTTAATATGTTTGTAGTTCGTTTTTTCGATTAAACTTCTAATTCTCGAGAGAGATGGAGCAGTCGCTGCTCGCGATCTTGTTCGATTGTTAACTTCTAATTCTCGAGAGAGGTGGAGCAGTCGCTGCTCGCGAAAAAACGAACTACAAACATATTAACGCCAAACATTTGGTAGAATTTATAGAATATTGTAAAAATTATGGTCTATTACCAACATATATATATATATATATATATATAACATACATTTTATATATATATAAATTCATGTACATACATATTGTTATAACGGCGGAATGATCGAAATGCGCTATATTATTTGTTATTCTAACTATTGTTATTTTTGATATATTTTATATCTTTGGATTGTAAAACGTGTAGTGTAAAGAGATATTGTATCTATGATTGTAACATCGGTGTTGGTAGTTACGAGGTTTAGGGCTACAATAATATAATAAATTACAAAAAATTATAACATCAACATTAATCAGATTGATTTAAAGTATCATTAACAAGTTGTTGAATGCAATCCCGCAAGAAAACAGCAGCAGCAACCAACCTCATTGATGTAATAATATATGGTTGCCCCGGTGCCCAAATGGTACAGAGCCATGAAGAACCAGTTGACGTACTTGACCCACCACGGCAGGGCACCGTACATGTGCTGCTCATCTCGTTTCATCGCCTTCAACTGCCTAATGTTATCTGAAAGGAAATTTCATGCGTATTTATTTCACTCAAAAAACTGTTCATAAGACTTCCGTAATGGAATATCCGAACGATGGCGAGGACGATAATAAAGGAAAAAATATTTGATGTAAAAATGAAGAATATTTATGTAAAAAGTTTCAACTGTAAATGTAATCATAATAAAATTTAAATAAAAACTAAATGAAGTAGAAGAACCTATGATGGAATTAAAATGTAGCTCAGACAATGAATAATGCAGTCTCATATTTGATCGCACCGTGACACTGTTCAAATGCTGTCTGCGCCAAACTCAAAAACATTCATCACGCCTCACTTGAACGATGTGGTGCTTGCGCGTTGGTACTAACTTGAAAGTACGTCGTCTGTCGTGTATGTTACTTACCTTGTGGCGCAACAGCCTCATTAATTTGCAACTAATTAAGCAGGGAAAAACTTGAGAGTCATTCAAAATTTGTTGTAAGAATCATGACAAAAATATAATTAAAGTCTAATTAAAAAGTAGAAAAAGTTATTTATTAAAAAGGGCACCTATAGAAGATGTGTCAGATTTTGATTCACTATCGCTATCAACAGCGTTGGCGTTAATATTGTTTTTGCTGCTGCTGTTGTTGATGTCAATTATTTTATTGCTCCTGTCGAGGTTGTTCGATTTGTTTGCAAGCTCCATGGTTTCATTAGTTTCAGCAATTTCTGCATGAGTATTAGCGTCAGGAATGTTCTGTTTCTTTGCATTATTTGTAGACTGCATTTTATTTCGGTGGACGCCAAAATTATAAAAATCTATTTTTATTTCTTTCTCTGCAACTTTCGAGATAAGATTGTTAACCCGATTTTCAACTTCTTCGAAAGTTTCTTTGACATCTATGAAGTTTCTACGATGTGAAACGATGTTTTTTGACGATTGAGATTTGTCCACGGATGATTGGAAAAAAACTTTCTTTTTTCTGTGAGCTTGGTTGTTAACGGCGTCTATCTCCTCGTCACTGACATCAGTGCATTCCATCTTTTTGACTGATTCATTCTTATTCAATCGGCTATTTGATTTATTATTTAATTTATTGAAGCTTTTTTTACGTAATTTTTTCACTTTATTTGCTGTGGCGTAAAACGCCTTGATTTCGTTGCTAAAGTTTTTATTGCAGTTGTTGGCATTGCTGTTGTTATAAATATTGTCGTCGGAGTCGTCGTAACTGGAGAAACTTAACTTTCTGCATGGGCGAGAAACATGTAATTGAAAAAACTGAAGATAATTGTTTGAATAAATAATAAATAAGATAAAAATATACGCAAATAAATATATATCAAAGAAGAAATATTTAAGTGAAGGAGAAACTTGGATTTGGCGAATTCATCTTCAGTGGGCATGTACTGGTACTCCTTTGCAGATTTGTCGCCGTAGTCCTGGTATCGAACGCTGGGGTGGTTCATGCTGTACTGTTTGGCATGCTCCTGAGTGTCCTCTGGATCGTATATCAGCTGGGTGATTGCTTTCTTACTGAACAGCCTGACACAAAACATCCGCAGCACTCCGAAAACTGATGAGATCTTCTCCATTTCTTTTTCTCTTTCTTTTTCAATTTTTTTTTCGGTAAGTTGCTATAAGAAAATAAAAAATGTTTTTAATTTCAAAATGTAAAAAAGTTGAAAAAAATGATTTATTTTATTGGTTTGAATTTTGCAAACTTTTTTCAACGAGCTTCAATAAAAATTATTAAATTAGATAACTAAAAAAAAGTATAAGGAGCTTATGTTGATTGTTAGGAGGGAGACTAAATTTCAATGCACTGCTATAAATAATAATAATGATTTGAATTTAAAAAATTCTAACAATGCTGAGTGCTTGAGACGACAGTCGATTCCAGTCGTTGATGATATTGAACTTGACCTTTCTGGGTCGCGATTCAGAGAACATGTAAGTTATCAACCAAAATATTGGACTCAAACCAAAACCAAACGCAAGGGCTATTGAAGAAATTTTACTTTCGTTAAATATTGTTTGTATGAAAATAATTATAAACATCATACTAATTATGACTTCCATCAATCCGTTATAAAATACGTTCGTATTTTTATTCATTGCTGTCTCCGAACTTTGCAGAATGAGAGTGGTGAGCAAAAATATTTCCAAATTGAGCATGCAGACGGCCACTCTTTGGAACCTCGTGTACGTACTTAATATAGGGCAAGTAAAAATTGAAAACCAGACGTGACTGTCTTCAAATCCTCTACAGTTGAACGTGACAAGTTACAAGTGAAATTTTTTTTGTAAAAACAAAAATTTGATCAACCTGAAGAAATTAGTGGTCAATAGATGTTTGAAATCGTTTCGAACGACGTGCGACACCGCATTAACAGTCACATCGCTTGACTGTCCTTTTACGTTGACGCAGAGCCATGTGTCAAAGAAGAAGAAGAATGCTTCTTTAGACTGTAGATCATAAACTGTTACTTCATTAACGAACCTTTAAATGTTAAACGTCAAATAAGAAATTGACATCAACTTTTTGAGTCATTTCAAGAAAGTCGTTTTACGTAACTGAGTGATGATAAGTAACTAAACAGTGTTGGTTGTTTATACTTAATTCAATAAATTCATCAGCATTTTGGAAAGATTTTTAAAAAATCTGCTACACTTCTTCAAAACCGAAAATTTGGCAACAATTTGAGTGTATGCATGTGATACGTACATGCTATATGCGCGTGTAAATGTAACGTAGCTTTATCAAGTTGAATAGTAATTTAGGTATAATTTGAAATTTAACCAATTAAATTTTGTTGATAAATCATTTTCAGTAAGCCACAGACGAACGCTGACTATTTTTCCGAGTGTCTCTTTTGTTCTTATAATGAAAAAATTTTGGTGACCTTTCTGTAAAGTTTGGTAATGTTTGCAGACAAGTTTGTGTCCGAGGCTTTTATTCACCGAACCTTTGCAACAAATTGAAGTAAAATTATTTTGTGTTAATTAAATGTTATTATTAGTAGTAGTAGCATTGGTTGTAATAATAGTAGCAGCAACATCAGTAGTAGTGGTAGTAGTAGTAGTAGTGGCGTAGTAATAGTAGTAGTAAGAGAAGTAATAGTAGTAGTAGTACTAATAGTAGTAGTAGTTGTTGTCGTTGTGGTGGTAGTAGTAGTGGTAAGTAATAGTAGTAGTATTAGTAGTAGTATCTATGTATTTTCCACATGCACTTCAAAAAGTTTTACGTATTTTCATTGCGATTTACGGTTCATATATTTATGACTTATTTTTTAATTTAATCTCATCTTTCCAACTAAAAACATGCTATCGATGAGCTCTGATAAATTTATTTCTACCATTTAAACTTCATCTCTCCGCTTTCTTACTACCTGACTGCATCTGACTTGATATTGGGTTATGTAACCTAAAAATTATTTCTCTTTTCTTGTGACTGCACCATACTGAACATTTTTAAATTTAATACGTATTATTTAACGGCTTGTTTACAAGACTATAACATTTTTTCAAACAAATCAACAGGAGTATGAAAGTTTTTCTTTTGGGAAGCAACTGAACCAACCAATAAGCATAATGAAAGCTGTGCCAGTGCAACCAGCGAATGGCCTCACACCTGTTTCCACGATCACTAAGTAAACTATTTCAGCAGCTGGGAAATTATCTGCCAAATCAACTGGATAACTCTGTTAATAAATTTAATAATTTCAAATTTCAAATATTTCAATGATCATGTTAAGAACTTTTGAACCAGATTCTTCAACTTCAAATCCGTGTACTTCGCCCAAGCACCGAAAAAGAAAAAAAATATCCAGATAAATGACAAAGTGTATATTCCCAGTTTAGATTTTCCAGAGAGCTTTCCATAAAAATCAATCAATATTGAGCTGTTTGGGTAACTTATTGAACCGGTGAATGTCGATAAATGGAAGCACTGACATTCCAGTAGTTCACTTGTCGTGCCTTTTGGGGAAACCTTTGTGGTCAATGTGTGTGTGTATGCGTGTGTGTGCGTGCGTGTGTGTGTGTGTACGCGTGTAATAAACGATACATATTTGCTTTTTATGTCTATTCAAGGAAGAAGGCGCAGTACAAACCATGAAATAATTAAATAGATGCGCAATTATACAAACACTTATTAATTATTATTACAATTAACGTGAAATTGTTACATTAATTTTAATAGAAGGCATTAAAATAACAGACTGACAGCACATCCATAAGTGCTCTCCTCGTTGGAGCTGCTATCATCACTGCCCGTTGATTCGTACCAGTACTGACAGGACAGTTGCAGCATGTTCAACTCCAGGGACACGTCAGCAGGGTACATAGATCGATAGGATACTATGAGCACTGAATATATTGTGTTGAACAACGGCGGTATCGTAAAGTTCAACTCAGTTTCCAGGCTTTCAAAGAAACTAAAAAATTAAAATATTTTATCATTAATTCAACAGCATTGAATTCAAAAATCTCTGTTGTTCAAAACTTATCTACTGAATAACAAAGTTTGCAAAAGTTTTCATTTGTGTGATAACCAAATAAATTGCAATCGTTTGAATTTTGTCACTTAATTCTATTTAAGTTGGTTGAAATAACTAAATAAATACAAATCAAGCTCATTCAATCTGAGTTTGGTTGATTCGGAAAGTTAAAAATCCCAGATGACTCTTCAAGTTCCAATCGTAATTTATTTTTATTCCATAACACTCAGTGCAAAACGAATGCAGTTACATCAAAAAATTTTCTTCGTGCACAAAATGATTATTTTGAAATTTATATGCTAGTTTAAATCTATTAGTTTTTGGTTACTTCATTTGTTTGATAACCAGCTCATAACACTCGTCTACAAATTTTTTCTTAGTATTTTCGTAGACATCCGTTCTTTGGCTGACATCGTCAAGAGTTCCATTGCAGAGAGTTACGATGAAGACGCCGTAGTTGATCACGATATCGTTACTCATATCGGTGAAGTTCAACTTGAGCATGATCAGATACAGAGTGTTGTCGTAAGTAAGGGCGGGAAGCGCCATTCGAAGGCTCTGGTTTGTGGACATCATGATGCTCTCGTACTTCAGCCAATTGCCCTCAGATAATGTGGGAATTTTTATCTGGTATTTTTTGTTTTCAATTTTTAAAATAACAATATTAATATAATATAAAAAATAAAAACATTTTTTAATACACATAAACAAAGTAGCAAAAAGGCGTTTTGGTAAAATGAACGTATAAAACCTAAAATAACAAAACCATGTATTTATATAAAAATTTGTTGATCAGTTGGTCTAATATGATGTTACCGTTACTGGCTCCATGAGAGATTTCAAAGGTAGGTACTCGCCCTTGTAATGCAGGGAGATGCTGATAGTAGGCGTGAAAAGGGTGGACACTTTCTGGGCCAACGGATTGTACGGAAACACAACCATCTATTTTTAGAACATTCAAATTCAACAGCAGTTAAAACATTCAAAATCCGTTGTTCACCTATACATAAATGCAAACTTGAAAATTATTTTGAGTTAAACGATGATCTTCCAGCCAAGACCAAAACAGCGAATTCGTAATTTACAGCACAATTCAGAAGTGTTAAATTAAAATGTGAAATGTTAGTGTAAAACATCGTCAGTGGAATATCCATTCATTAAAAACTCAAATTTAATTGATAATTTTTCTATCTATGGTTTTTATTAAAACAATAAGTTCTACATATCGATAATGAAAGAAAGTTTTTCAAACGCAAACTTTAATATCGACGAACTCATCGGTGGATGAGGCAGAAGAATTCAAGGCATCAACAACCGCCAGTGGGATGGTCAACTCGTACGTACTTTCTCCAATTTTGAAAGGTAGTATTATATCATTGTCTGTCTGCAAGCTACATTTAGCCATGACCAACGTGAATACGGGCGTGTCCTCGATTATGCTACTCCTTTTCTCTACATATTTGGAATACGCGTTAGCTAAATACGCTAAATGATTGGTCACGTATGTCAAAACATTGGTTCGCTGAAAAATAAATCAACGTAATTTTAAAATTTATTGAAAAAGAAATCTTCCAAGAGTACTTTTATGAAAACATCAGATGACTCGGAGTTTTGGTAACCGGCAATCAAAATTGAAGCTAATGTTTTAGTCAGGAGGCTGGAAAAATAAAACAACTTTTGTTTCAGATATAATAAAAATAGTAGTAACTCTAATAGAAATTCTCAATGTATAATTTTTCAGAATTATTGTGATTTAAATGACCTCAAGCCGTGTTTTACTTCTTCATCTGTTAAGATTGATTTCGACTGATCCCAATATTTGAATATATCAGTGAGCATTGTAAAGTTCAACAGATTAACAACTGAAATTGAATCAATTTCGTTTGGATTATAGACCAACCAGTACACTAATTTGATAATTTCATTGTGGTACAGCTCACGTCCAAACTCCTTCCACTTCCCGGTCAAAAAACCCATCAGCATTGTTCTAGCCTAAATAATAAAATTTGGTCAATTTGGTCAATAAATTTCTCTTGTCTTCCAAATAATTGAACCGACTTTTGTTTTATAATTTATGTCGTGCACCTCGTTTGAAATCTGCTCGTTGAAAAGATCGATAGCATTCCCTATGGAGCTCAACGTTTCTAATTTGTTATATCGGAATCTATTCAAGTACTTGAAGTTGGGCACGTAGAAATAACTGTTGAACACCTGTTGAATTTATCTTAAAAGAATATTTACTAAAAATCATTTAAATTCAATTATTATTATAAGTAAGACTGCAAATTTTGGCGGCTGCTTATTTAAAGATGACACAATTCAAACCCATCCAGCAATGTCTGCATTAGTTCGTTTGTTTCAAACTCATTAATATTTTAGCGTAATAAATTCGAAAAGCTTAAAAAAAATTCAAAGCATATCTTCATACCACAACAGCCAGAAAGTTAAAAAAACTAAATACACTGTTCAAAACGTCCAGTGTACCTTGAACGGTAAAGTATCAAACTCTTCAACTCCGTTTGTCAGTTTGATGAAGAGGCAGCGATAGTGGTTGTCGTGCATGTCGCCGGCGCTGAACCTCAGGTTGGAAATGTTCACGTTCAACGGACCGTAGTATTTAAGGAGGGCGTCTGCAGAAAAATATCACAATAAATATCTCAAGTCCAAATTATTCAATCGGCGGTACTAGCAGTATGCATCTCAATCATGAAATGTTGTCGGCAATGCAATTCTATTATTATTTATATTTTATAAATAGCTCAATAAATCATTATTTCTTAAATATGATTGTTATCATTTACAATCAATAAAAGAATAACATCATCGAAAAATGAAATATTCTTGCGACGAATGGTATTGATTTTTAAAATTTATTTTCAACAATAGCACCGAGAGAATTTAACTTGGCCACATGGAGAACATCTGGTTGCGCACCACAGTGACCTGGTTCAATTGCATGAAGATCCACACTTATTACTTATTATTGAAGTGCATAAAAATAGTCTTCTATGAATATCAGCAATTTAATGATAAGCCGGTTGATCGATTGATCGATTGATTGATTGATCGATTGATTGATTGATCGATTGATTGATTGGTTACAAAAATGACGGAAAGGTTCATTTGACATCAATACAGACAATATGAAAACATGTATAACTTTATTCTGCCAATGTTATTTATTAAAATTAGTCTTTTTAAATTTTAAAATTAGAAATTGGAGAAATAATTTTCTAAATACTGAGCTAACCCAGCGAAGTCTCGGAACACCTGCCGCTGAAAACTTTGTAGATGTTGCTTTCATTTTTTGGGCAGACGAGTGTGAACCTCGTACTGAATGCCAGTCCCTCTGGCGGCAAGATGTTGCACGAATAATTTTGAAATTTGTCTATCTCAAACGTTTTGTTGTGCTGATATTTGGAGCTACTGTAGTTATCGACCACTGATGAAAAAATATATGAATAAAAATAAAAAACACAATATTTGAAATAAAGACAAAAATGTAAAAATCTGCTCGTACCTAGCACTTTGACGGTGTGTTCTGCAGAGGATAATTTATTTAAATCGAAGGATTCGATGATGAACTGGTTCGTTTTTGAGATGATGTCATCAGGTGAGTGCACAAAGAACCAGGAGATGTTGAATTCAGAACATTTCGAACAATTCACCTGCGAAGCAATGTTTGAAAATAATTCATTTCACATAACAAAATCAACAATTAAAATCAAATGGAAATATTCTGCAAATTGTTTCAACAGCCCTTTAAAAAAACATCCACTTTGAAGTAAAGACGCTGGCGCATGTTGATTTTGTAGTTGCAGTTACTAATGCACTCGAATGCAATCCTCTCGGCCTTGTGCAGCAGGGTCAGCTTTCTGCAGGCCACAGCTGACATGCCCCTCAAGAAGGCATGCACGTGGAAGTAATAGTCCTGGATACCACTCCTCCTTATCTTGATCATGTCCTTCTCTTTAACTGTGATCGCTTTCCCCGTGGCGTTCAGTGCTACTTTCTGGTGTACTATACATCGGCTTTGCTCTGAAATATTTTGATTGAGTTTATGCAATCTGCCGTGCCAATCATTCATCCATTGTTTGCATTTGTTTTGTTTGCACATTGCACTGTTGTATGCTTGTAAGTTGTAAAATCGTTTGTTTGTTTGTTTTGTTCGTTCGTTTGTATGTTGTATTAATGTTTTAGTGTGAAAGTTGCACGTTTTATGTTTGTAAAGTTGTTCACTTGAAGATTGCACTGTTATACATTGAATTAGAAACCATTGATAGTTGAGGGCTCCAGGATAGGAGTCCTGGTGCAGTACCACTTCAGAGTTGTTGAGTTCGTCTCCAGGCCGTCTGTCGTGTGGACTTTCGCTTTTACCACATGTGTGGATGTCTCCGCCGTTTCTTCACGTAAACAATAACATCGGGAGATATGAAAACACACTTGCATTTTATAACAGTGATGACAGGGTATACAAAATAGTAACAGTTTGTGACAGCGGTATGACATAACAAGTAACCACTAACTAAAAGGTTTAATAGCAATAATAAAGTTATCACCATGCTACTTACACCATAAACGTCTTTCCTACCAACGATTTTTTTTAGCATTAAAAGCTAACAAAATAACATTAAAAATTGCAACACCAAAAAAAACTTAGATTATTTCATTCTATTAATAACATTTATAACGTGGAAAATTATTTAAAATTAGATCTAAATAATGGGTTCTAAAATTCAATAACCATAATTTTATAATTAAAATTATTTAAGAACAAAGTCAGCGGACCTTCTATAGATTCGTAACCTCCGTAAAACGTGATGGTCAACTGGTAGGACTTGTATATTTCACATTCGTAATCAACTTTCTCAGCGTTTCCGCGATATTTAAACTGAAAAGATATACATTCAAGTGTGAACACGGTTGGACAGTTATAATTAGAAGATTGGAAGTACTTAATTGGTTGGTTGGATCGATTGTTAAAATGAATGAATACCAAACACCAACAAAAAGCTTGAAAAGTCAGTGAATCAAACAAAAAGATATTCAAAGAAAACAAAAATAAAACTAGTATAAAACCGGAAACTGAATTTGACAATAAAATCATTATGATAGGTTTTACAATCATCGATTTTAAAGTCAAACTTGAAAAAAGTTCAAAACAAAATAATGATTAAACAAAAAAATTATAACAAGCATACAAAAAGTTCCACATGCAGTTGAGCAACCATCTGATTACTCCTCTGAAAAATTTCATTGGCTGAGAACACTTCGTCAGCATAGGTGTGGTTTGCGAAAAGATTCCTGTTGATTGACCACTTCAGGTCAGTTATCTCGACCTCCTTCAACACTCTGAAGACACCAATTAATGAGAGGAGGAGGTTGGATTCTGAGGCGTTCATGAAAACTTTGTTGGAGTATTGTGCCTGCTGTATCTTTATCTTCACGTGTCGCGCTGTTGGCATCGTTCATAGTGATTCGCTATGATGACACGAACACGCAAGATGCAGTCATAACTTATTTTTACTTAATAGTTTATCAGAAGCAAATATGAAAAGAGAAGATCCTGTTTATACTAATATTTATAGTAAATAAAGTAAATTAGAAAAAGTAAATGAGCATGTTTATGTTCTCTTTTGTAAGTACTTGAGCAAAGATCATCGTAGAATTTGATGTCACTTGCGTTCGAACTGGAGACGCTGCTGCTGCTGTTGTCCAGGTTTAGGCAGTCGTAGGCCAGTCCACACACATAGGAGCCTTCGAAGTTGTAACATTCCTCATCTGTCTCGCAAACAAACCAATCGCATTCGTCTACGTCTGCGTATGTATTGTTGTATGTGTGTGCGTGAGTATGTGTATTTATATGTACTGTTACATGTACGTGTGTGTATGTATTGTTGTATGCGTGTTGGTTGTATGTACGTGTATATACATGCGTATGTTTTACGATGTACATACATTTGTATTTGCGTCAGTATAGGTATGAAATATTATACATGTAGTGCATTTCTGTATGAAATATTGTTTGCATACAGTAGTAAGCGTGTGCGTATATTTATGACGTGTGTGCGTGTGTGGGCGTTTGTTTGTGACACATGTTCGTGTGTTTACGATGCGTTCAAATAATATTTATTGCCATTAATTTGTTAACCCTTCATTTCAACATGTCAGATGAATTTATGAAAAAATGAGTTTGCTTATTGAAGCACAAAAAGACATTTATGTTATTGTTCTTAGGTCATCAACAAATGGAAATAATTATTGCTGTGACTTGCGTGATTGCTCACGCGCCAATCCAGCAAACGTTCCAACGTAGACAACCTTCACAAGAATTTGTATCATGATTGAAAGAAAATCCGTGCAGACACTTGCATTCAAACTTGAACGTTCCAAACTGGTGGCAAACAGGACAGGAGTTACTTGGCGGGCAGGTTTTTGGTTCTGCATTGTTTAAATTTCAGTTCTTATCACCAAAACAAATGCTAGAAAAATTACATGTCATTTACACTTTTTCCAACTTTTTCAAATTAGAAACTCATATTTGATCTATTAAATCTAATGAGCTTGTTTGATCATAATTAGCCGCAAGAACATCAAATAAAAATAAATAAATTGAAAACAAAATGATGACACAACTTCTTGCAAACCTGCACACACCCCCTCGGATATTTGAGGGTTTCCATCGGGGCATGGGCATCGGGCCGAGCCATCGTAGGCGTCATAACACCAGCCTTGTGGACAGTCAACAACTGCACAGTTGCCAATCTCATCTGTCTCAGAATTTCATTTTAAATTATAAAGCGAATAAGTAAGTTGTCAACTGCATTGTTTTAGAAAAAATGTTTACCAAAAAGTTCATGCTATGAGTGGAATGAATCGAAATTTTGAGACGGTAAAAAGGGTAAAAAGAGAAAAAAAATTATATTTAACAAGAATTATAATAAGAAAGTTTATTTTGTGTTGTTTAGAAATGAGGAATAAAACAAATTAGGAAGTTTAAAAAAATGTGACATTTTGGATTACTGCTGGCATATTTCAATGTAAAAATCAGTTAAGTTCTTTGTTCATTACGATTTTTAAAGACTTATTATAGGATGACAATTATTATAATAAAGTTTCGATAGTTTTTGTACCTTATAGAATACTTTTATTCGCGCATTTGTCGTAAATGGAAGTGCACGTATATTTATTAAACTTGAGCAAAAAACATTTCGAAGCTACTCACTGACGCATATGGCTGAATTGCCGTGCAAACTGGCAACAAGTCCTTCATTACAGGTGCATCGGAAAGATCCTGGCTCGTTCCGACACTCCTTACACTTGTGATTTATGCACTCATCAATGTCTGGACGTTGTTGTGTTGTTAGGTCGGTCAGAATATTATTGATAATTAGTAGGGATGCATCGGATTTAGGTTTTTCAAATCCGGCCGGGGCCGGACTTGGCCGGATTTAAAATTCAAAAACCGGCCGGGGCCGGATTTTAGTTACTATTTTACATACGTTAGAAAAAATACTCACATTTACGGTTATCTACATGTTGAACACCAAAAAATAACACAAAGCATAAAGTGTTGATTGTTTTTTATTGAAAAAATTCCAGTGTACAAAAATTTTTTATTATTATTTCTTTTCAGCCATTTTTATAAAATTCACCAATAATAAAAAATGCTTAATAAATGTATTGTTCTTAAATTATGCGCTTTATAGCTGCATCATCCGTCATATACTATTATATATAAGTGCACAATTTCTTGTACACAAAGATCAGCTTATAATTTATGCATAACTCATGTTATAGCACAAAGAAAATTGTCCAGCTCACCTCACAACTAGTGATGCTGTTATTTGCCATGTAAGCCTAGCCTAACCTTTACCTTTCTTAAATTATGCGCTTATATATATATATATATATATATATATATATATATTATGTAGCTATATCATCCGTAATATACAATTATGTAGTATATATCACGTGCACAAGTTCTTTTGCACAAAGATCAGCTTATAATTTATGCATAACCCATGTTATAGCACAAAGAAAATTGTCCAGCTCACCTCACAATTAGTGATGTTGTTATTATGTGTCATGTATGCTTAGCCTTTAACTTATTGACATGAAATTAATCGAATTCAACAAAATTTTTTTTCAATTTATAAAATTTTTAAATGTTGATAGACGCTTAAATCCGGCCCTAAATCCGGCCGGATTTGAAAAAAAGGCCGGATTTTGGCCGGGGTCGGGGCCGAACTTCGGTGCATCCCTAGTAATTAGTGAATATAAAGTACATATAAGTATAAAATCTAGTTTCACAATTATAATGTGTTCCTTTAGTCGTCATCATAATGGTCTCGCCAACCTTCACAAGCATGTCTATTGAGAGGCATGTAGTAACCATCAGAGCATTCGCACGGAAAGTACATGATCTGTTGATATTTCAGGCTGTGTCTGCACTGATCCATGCAGTCACCGCTCAAATGCTGACAACCTGAAAAAAATATATCCAAGCGCAAATAACTCAAAATAGTAAACAGTGGAAGAATATGTAGGTCTAACTCTAGCGTTGCTCTGGCGACAAGAAGCAGTTAAATGCATGAAGATATATAAAATTAGCAATAATAGTTTGTCCTTGCTGAATTTATAAAAAAAATGCAATATTTTGGCTGCATCAACCATCTCGACGATTAATGCGTTAAACAGCTGTTGAAATTCTTTAAATTTTCGATTGAAATTACTCGCGAATTAATGGTCTAATGGTGTTAGTTATGAAATGTACAAGAAAAATTTGAAACATTTTCATTGAGAGAACGTTGGAACCAAGTATAAAATGTTACAAACGTTGGTCGGTCGAGATAACCATTTAAATAACGGATGATTCAATTTTTACCCAAATCATTCACTAATTTATTTAATAAGCTACTCATTAAATTACCAAAGGTTGTTGATTCTGAAGTCGACATTGTTATTTTTTTTATTATTCTTTAATATCAATTGATACGTTGATTGTATATTTAATTATTATTTACAAAAAATTTTTTTTTAGCAAAATGGCAAACTTTTTTTAGGGCAAGTGTGTGCAGTGTCGGCTTGGACCTTGGTGGCCCCTTTGATGCACTCACTTTGATCCAGACAAATACCTCTCAACGGTCTGCAGTACATAGACATACAAAGGCAGAGTTTGGAGCAATTGTGGCCGTAGTAGTAAGCATTGCAGGCTGGTCGGTTGGATGGAGGTGCATTGTAAATTCTCAAATGTAATTTAATGTTATAACTACATTAAGATGCACAGGCTATTGTGCGTTAATTATTTTATTCAACATAGCAGGTAGATCGCTGCAAGTCCATTAGAAATTATTAAAAGTTATTTAATATTGAATCCAATAATTAACGTTCTCGTCGATTTTATTGACTAAAGCAAACTTGAAAAGACAGCAAAAAAATGTGGATTCTCGCAAACGCCGCCCTGACAGGACACACCGCAATATGAAGGATCTATCTCAGTTCCATGCTCTACCGTGCTGCGACAGATGCAGAACCCCTCGACCTGACAGTTGATTTCGAGGAAGATTTTACAATTCCTTCCCAAAATGTCGGAAAAGTTTGGAAAACTCAAATTGTTGAATAAATTTGATGACAAATGTTCAGGACGATGTGAAACATTAATTAACATGAAAATTTGTACAAAACTGCCAAACAGTCATAGAAAATGTTGTAAAGTGTAAAATAATTCATTATTATGGACTTATTTTAAAGTTATATTTAACTGATATAAAAACAATTTCTAAATTGAATTGTGAAATTAAAAGATATAAACTTGTTTGAACATTAAAATTAAAAATAGTAAAGTAAATTGAACTAAAAAACTTGTGATCATATCTCTGAAGCGTCAACGAAAATTCGGAAAAAGTATAAATAGGAACAAACACTGAGGGCGCTAAATATTTCATCAGCTTTGTTGCAGCGAGCCAAGCACTGTTCCAATTTCATGCGATTTTCAGTTGCAACGCTAGCCGTTAGAACATTGTAGTAGCAGCCGATGAAGTTGCTTCTTGTTATTATGGAAAAAGCTAAAAATGTTTGTCGAATTTTCATTAAATAAAATATTTATCTTAAATAATAGCCTGAGAAGTAAATATTCTAGCAAACATTTACATGAAATAGACTTTATAATCAAGTAAATAAAAATTAAAAACTCAAAAACTGAATAAATACTATGAAATAATCGTGGCACCATATTTTTTAACACAAAAAAGAGATGCAACTTGTAACGAATTATCATGTAGGATACAATAAACAATACACAGACACGAACGTCAAGCCTTGTTAGCTACTATGAAAATTAATGATATAGTATTACAAGAAAGAGGAAGCCAGCAAATGATGACAATGTATAAATTGTTAAACAACAACCAACATGATACATTTTTACCGATTTATATATTATCAATCTCTTTATCGTGCCTTACTCTAAGTAATTTGATAATTTTTGAGAAAACGATTAGTTGTGGAAATATATGTCTGTTTCGAAATAAGAAACGTAAAACTTATGGTTGTTTGAAGACACGTGAGGCGGAACATTTGGTTGTTAGAAGATATCTGATGCTTTTTGAGCTTTTCGAGTTTGAAAGAAGGGTTCAAAATCGACTATTCCTAATATATAACATCTTATTAGTACAACGATGCAACAAAAGTATCTCAAAAACTGTAAAAATTTAATAAGTGAATGACCACATATCGATCATATATGAAGATATCCATGAGATTTGGAAAACATTCTAGTGGAAATTAACGTAAATGAATAAGACAAAGTAAATGAACTATGCGTTAGTAAAGGCATCTCACAGTTAGTAAACATGCTAGTAGCAATTAACTGACATAAAAACTGAAATGAGTTTTCTTTCTTCTAAATAATATAAATTATTTTCAAATAATATTAAAATGGGCAAGGCGAGGGTTTAATGGTCAAAGTGATCGGGATTGCAGTTTTTGCGGGAGTTGTAAAGAGAATATTACACATCTCATAGGTCCTATCCCATGCAAAATGTGCTGCATTGATTCACGTGTGTTTACATACTAAAGATAATTTAATAAATAAGCAAATAAACAAACAAATGAGTGAGTGAGTGAGTGAGTAAAACAGTAATTTACAATCTGATAATTACAATCTAATGAAACTTACTTGTAACAATATCTCCGCAAAAAGTAATTAGTAGAAGGACCAGAATCATATCATTACATGGAATAAAATATAAATATATCTAATCTACATAAATAATAACACAAGTTCAACAAAAGTAATAATATAAATTCATATTGAAACAAAAGAACAGGAAGCAAAAAATATCACTTCCGCATAATTATGACATCACAAACAGACGTTTTGTCCATAGAAAGTTAAGTCATAATAAGTAACTATTTCGAATATAACAGCAAAATATAATTTTTCTTACATCAAACAATTTTGCAGTCAACAAAATATTAAAAGAACGCGTTAAGAAATTTCATATAGTAGATTAAACAATTATTTTATCAAATTTTTTGACTAAAAAAAAAATCAGAAAATGTAGAAAATACAATTAATATTACTTTCATGTTTATGGTGGAGTTATTTATTGTTTGTTTACATGTTAGAAAAAATAAACAAACGTACACTGGCTGTTTAATGAGAGGTGATGTGTGATGAATGATGATGCTGGCTGGCGTTTACTCATTCTAATTTTTATTGTTGATAGTAAAATTTGTCAAATCTTTATTAAAAAAATAAAATTTCTCTTGGATTTTTTTAAGTTTCAAGTATTAAAGGTCGCAAAGAACTGAGCGTTTTTTTGTCAATAACTTATCAATCAGTTATAAAATAAAAAGTAGAAAAATAAACTTTTTTTTAATTTTTAATCTTTAATTAATATTAATTGATTGATCATTAATCATTAATGATATCGATATCACATATCATTCATATCTGACTCATTAAATTTGATAGAAGGCCTAGAGCCTAAAAGGGTACTTGTGATTCATAATTTGGCTAACAACTAACTACTACCCTTCTTTAAAATTCTTAACTTAAGAATTAGCAATAGAATAATTAATAATAGAATGTGTATGTATGAGTAATTAGTATTACTATACTAAAAATGAAGTATTATAAGAGTATTATAGTGTCGTATAAATAAACCTGTTCTATGTCTGTTTTAATTTAAATTTATTTATTTTTATGGAATTGTGAATCTGATGAAATGATAAACAAACAGGCAGGCCTATTATTAAAATTCATATAAATTTTTCTTTTTTAACAATAGACATCATTAATTAATTACTGAATCTCAGTTGGCTAAATATATTCTAAATTATATTACATCACAAATATAGACTTTATAATATATTTTAAATAATAATAGGATTTCTGATATCTAACAATTTTAACTTTTCTAATAGAGCTTAAGAATGCTAAGTATCATAAATAGCAACAAAATTTATTGGTCGTTTATCATTTATGAGATGGCTTACATATTATGAATAATAAAATTAATTCAACAAAAGCTATATAATTCTTAGACATTTTTTTGGTTAATTTAGAATTCATTTATTTTATGGTTTGTTAGAATTCTATATTTTAAAAATTTAAGGTGGTGAAGTAACAATGATAGTGATTATTTTTGAGTTTATTTATTAATAAATTTCTTATAATTTTATATTTAGCAACGTACTTTAGTAATATAAATTTATTTTTTTTTAAATCTTTAAAAAAATTACAATTTTTCAGGATGGGTCAAATGCTAAGGCGAGTTCAGGAACTTGAAAAAGAAGTTGGCTCTAAGAATCACATTTCTAATTCGCATGTCTCAATTTGCAAAAAATTTCCCGATTTGACTCAGCTGCCTCCAGAAATAAGTTTACTGGTTCTCTCAAATCTTAATGCCACTGATCTCTGCTTGGCTGCATGTGTTTGGCAGGATCTTGGAAATGATGAAATTCTATGGCACAGGTAACTCACATTGTTATACTAATTGTGTTGTTTTAATATAACTTTCAGCTATTTTGAGCAAACAGTATTTATAACTACTGTGGATCCATTAGGAACATTTGACAAACATGATGAGTTGTGATAATTTTGTTTAGAAATATATGTAGCTTGCATGCAAGGATGTTTATTAGATCTGTGTGATTGTGTGAATAAATTTATGCATGCAAGTCTACCATATTGAAGCCATCATTGTCATCACATCGTTGCCAAACAAAACCTGCAACAGTCTATGCAGGAATCAGTGGCAGATGGTGTCAGCCTACAAAAAGGTGATGGACGGAACATTTTCATACAAAAAGCTGTACATGCAGTTAGATGAAGCCACACTGACATTTAATGCTGATCCCAATCTTGTTAGTTGATTCATTTGATTACATCATGACCTTCATCAGTAATATATTCTGCATTCAACATCATTCAGTTGATTGTTTGGCTCTTTTGTTTTTAAATGCTTATAAAAATTTATAACATTGTAAAGAATTTGAGTACTTTTCATTAAAAAAGATGTAAAATAACTGATATATTTATTACATAGTCGTTATACGCAATTGAATTGTTAGGGTATAGAGTACTTACTAAAAAACAAATTGGTCGATGATGATCCGTATGAGATTGCTTGCTACCTACATACCTGCAGAAATATTGATATTGAAAAGAAAAGATTATATGTATCAAAACGGTAACATTACTTATGACTTTTTGTATACCCTTTTTATATTTTTTTCCATTCATAATTTTTTAGCATCCTGCTTAACGTTTTTAGTTATTTTTATTATCAAATTATGCACATGTTATGAATTACAACAAAACAAAAATAACAATGCACAATCACAGGCCAGATGTCTTAGATGAGATCATGAAGCTGCAGAACTTTGAAAACCAGTTCCTACCGAATGCACTTCGAAGATTCTTCAGAGAGACAGCAACACCTGGTGAGAGGAATGATTACCTCAGCATGCTTGTCAAGAAGTTTGTTCAGAGGTTCTGCGTTTGCAATCCTCAGCTGCAGCTATCACAGGGTGAGTCTCAACAGTTGCTTTTTGGGGTTATTTTGGTAGTTAGGAGCAGCAGGTCGCTTTTTTATTACCCTTTTTGTCACTCTAGACTCACATATTGGTGCCCTGTTGTCATCTATGAAAATGACCAGAGTTAATATAAATGAATAGTTTACATACAATCGTAATAGTGAACTTTATTTAGCTATTATAATAACTCCAGAGTTATTGAATGTTATTGCACAACTGCACAGATACGCTGTACGTGGTTTGTTTCTCCCTGATCATGTTATCAGTCGACCTCACCAGTCCCCAAATAAAAAACAAAATGTCCAAACGGGAATTCATTCGCAATGTCAGACGAGCCGTGATGAATGGAGTGGACGACGAGTTTGTGGGCCACCTTTATGACAATGTCTATCTCGTTGGTCACGTTGCTCCTAAGGCTTCTTAGAAAAGTTGCAAAAGTGTGATTATTTGTTTCTACAGAGACCAGGGAGAAGTTAATGAGAAGAAAATTGTTGTTTCTTGAATGCGAGAATATTTCATATTTATAATGTGCTTCGATGGGTTTCATATGACGAGCACAATTAAAGTTTCATATTTTAGTTAGTTGATGAGACCTGACTTGTTGTGAAAGACCAATGAAACATTGTTGTGAATATTAATTAGCCTAACTAACGTCATCATTTGTACACTTTTCTAATTTTTTACCTTTAAAATATCATCTATGCATTATATCATTGTATCATATTTAAATAACATACTAGCTAGGTGTGAATAATATTTGAATTGTATTTGATATTTTTTTTAACGAAATTCACTGACATGTTAATAATGCTTGATCTCACATTGCACATGTACATACATAGTTTTAATAATAATTTTCACTCGTTTCAAAAATTAATCAAGTAGCGACGGCGGAGGTACGGGTAACATTTAATGGTTGATAATCCAGCCAGATGATGGCCGTGTCTCACCACGTTTTTTTTTTGTTTTTTGTTAACATGCTCAGCTCTAAAGATTCATACTCGTTATTCAAAAAGTCGACCCGCAACGGATGGAGACTATAAACGAGGATAGATTGATTGATTGTTCGAAAATAGATTTTTATTTTTTTAGAACATTTATTTCATCGACGATCTCAATATTCAACAGAAACTAACTCTTCTGAAAATAAAAACCAGTGCTTTAACTATTAAAACGCATGAACAAATTTTTTTTCAAACGGAAAAATTTCCATTTATTGATTCTTTTTTTACAATTCAAATATTTTTGCCCTTACTATAATTGTCCTGATGTGTAATAGATGGAAGACAACATGGATCAGTGATCTGAGTGATGATGAAATAAATTTGAAGAATTACGGGATGAATATCTGTTGATTTTCAATTGAATCCAGCACCCACAACTTGTCAACAATGCGAGAACGGCTGCTGTATTTCTTAACTGAAAGAATTTCAAATATGAAAATTTCTCATTTGGAAAGGAAATCATCTATCAAAGTATCTAGCGAAATTGTGTGACTATTCTGCAGGAATAAATTGCTTATTAGGTGAGTAGGTGATAAGTATATCTTAGTTCGTCCTCCCGTTTGATGCAAATAAAAACTTACCAAGAGGTCTGCAATTTAGCGTGTCAGTTGATCCAGATTCATCAAGCACAATGACAAACGAACGATCTGTTGTGAATGAACAGAGAGAAGGATCAGCAACAACCTGCCCTCCACATTTCAATATGCATCTCATCAGGCCATCTGAATGATTTTATTTCTATTTTTTAAAGTAATAAATACTTGGAAAACATTATAAAGTTATTTTTTTGAGAATACACATCGAGGTAATTCAAATAAAACAGCTTAATGTTTTATAAAATTGATGAACTCTAAAAAGCGTAGCATACGAACACGCTATAAACTAGAACTACTTTACTGATAACAACATCAGAAATTATTAGTAGTAGTAGTATTAAGTCAAAGATTTCACCTTTCGAAATACTTTCAAATTCTCCGTAGCAGCAAAAGAGATATTTGCTGAATAACGTTTCAATGGATTCATCTCTGTGATGATATACTAAATATTTCTTCTGTGAGGTGAGAGAAAATTTTCCTCTTATCTTATAAACTAAAAACTACTAAGAGCTATAATTAGTAGAGTAACAGACACACTATGACATCATCAGTAAGTAAGCTAAAAAGCACATACACTGTCAAGTAACGTCCCTTCCTCGATTGATTGCACGACCCACTCAAAGCTTATAATCGGCCTCTTCGAACACAATGCTTCATAAAAATCTGTGCATCTGTAAGAGGTGGCTTGACGAGAATCAAATTAAACAATTTAATCATAAGATGGAAAACTGTAATTTGGTATGTAATAAATAATGCCTAAAAAATTAATGATAATCGAGAATCGCGAAAGGTTAATAAAAATTGCTGGAACAAAAAACACAAAAATTTCATCAGGTAGAACTAAGTAGAGCATCAACAAGCTAATTTAATTGAGAATTACTAAAAAATTTATTTTTTTATTAATATTTTATATTTTTTTTATTCTTGGTCAATAATAAACACATAGGGCAAATTTAATGGAAAACTTTTCAGAAGTCTGTTTGTGTTTCAATGTAAATAAAGAACTAACAGGCATCAATAATGAAATGTGATGTTAACCAGTTGAAAGACCCATCTAGTGAACACCTCAATGAGTTACAAAATTTTTTAACAAGCTTCTGGAAAGATATAAATCTAGTATTAATTATTAATTATGACGATTCATTTAAAGTGATGGGAAAATTAAAAAGATTGGCAGTGATTTTAAATTTTGAATTTGGTGATAGATGCAACATCATCATCCTTTTCAGAGATACACTAATACAACAACTGGTGCTTCTGAGATTATTAAAGTAATTGCAGATGCAATTTTTTCTGCACTATTTCTTTCTCTTACATTTTCACAGGTGTTTCCTTGGCTACAAATTGCAGCAAGATGACCATTAATAATAATTACAATAGGATTACTTATATGCAACAAAAATATCTTAACAAAAACGAGATTGACAGAAATCGATGAAGAAGTAAACATAAATTATGAAATGTAACTTGTTTTAGAAAAAATATTTAAATTGAAAATATGAATTATCAAAAAAAGACCATGTTTTTTGCTGTTTTTCTGATGTTACCAAGACATATGTGCCATGTTGCTCTGCTTGGAAACAAAGAGTTACAATTCCTCTCATGGTCCTTTACATGAACACAAGTGTCAATTCAAATTTTTCAAAAATATCAATTTAGATGAATAAAAAGTTTTATTGCAAAAAATCTTAAATGAGAAAAGAAATTAGTAATTACAATTACTGAACCTCAACGTCCATTGTGTCTGCATCAATGCACTCTGAACCGGCACTCTCAACAACTTCCATTTGGTCATTAGTCATTGCATTATTTTCTCTCAAATATTCTACACCATCTCCAGCAATTTCAACTCCATCATTCCCACTGACATTCAATTTTTCTTGTGAGAAAATATAAGCACCAATGGTGGATTCGGTAACTACGTTTGCATTCCCTTCTAGATTGTTCTCATTGTTAATAATCTTACAATTATTTTCCTCAGTAGCAGCATGAGAATTTTTTGGAACATGGATAGTAGAATGAGTAGAATCACTACCGATAGCTGGATGATGATGATGACGAAGAAAAGACTGGTGATCATTTGACGGGATGATGGACTGTTGATCATTTGATGGGATGATGGAATGGTGATCATTTGACGGGATCATGGATTTGAGAGCAGCTGCACAACTGATGAACAGATCTTCATCTTGAGTGAGGAGGCAAGTGTTGGCGGCATACGAATCAAAGTTGAAACCACTTCTGCTATTTGTATAGCCTGATGTGATTTTATCTAAATAGTCAAGTTTTGCTGCTTCATTCTGTTTTGTTAGTTCAGTGATTATATTTCTTATGTTAGCATTCCTTCCAGTATCTACGTGATTATTTTCAATGCAGATTTTGACGAGTTTGTCATTATTATCACAATTATTATTATTATCATGAACATTATTGTCACTGATATTATTGTTATTTCCATTATGACCGCCATTCGTGTTTCTACTTTTATGTGTTTTAGCGAGATCGATATCAAATGGAATAGAGCTAGGAATCACGTCATCCCCATCATCTTTGTCTTCATTCATAATATTTCCATCTTTCAGGTTAGCACTTCCATGCTCATTGACATCAATGGTAGCATCCTGTTTATGAGAAGCCAACTTCTCTTGAAAGATCTTAGAATTCTCAGCTCTCAAACTTTCCTTGTTTGAAGAAAACTGATAATTACTCAGATTAAAATTGTTACTACTGTTGGATACACTGTTGGCTTCAATAGGCCCCTCACTATTGTGATTCTGTGGTGCATCAAATTCAGATGCATCAAATTGTTCTGCCACAATGCTCTCTTCGGCTATCGATTCTACTCCATCATATGATTCAACTTTTGTTGTTAAGAACATGTCACAATCAGAGCTGTTCATCAAACTGCATGCAATGTTGTTCTGATCTTGAAGTGATGTTGAAGATTTTGAATTGAGATCTAATGCATCATTCAAGAAATTTGATGTGTCACGAACAATTAGTTTGTCGTCATCTTCACAATCAGAAATCCCACTTAAATTATCCCCTTCATCTTTCACCTCATTAGCTTCCTCCTGCTCACCCTCACCTTCTGAAATATGGCCATTCAAAATACTTGTTTCAGCAAGCATCTATCGTTTCAAATGATAAATTAAACAATTATTAAAGATGATCAGAAAAAGCAATGACATGTTTTTTAAATTAACTTTTTGAAATGAAATTCACACAAGTGTGCAGTGAGCATGTAGTTTGTTAAACAAAGCAGTCTTAACATTGGCAATAAGTAGAAAATTTTCTTAGTACATAGTGAAATTTTACAACCATTTATGAATATCAAGAGAATAGTATTTTTCAGTACCTTGATCAGTAGCAGGAAGACTAGGTAATGTATTGAAGGGACTTGAGAGGAATCAAAATAATAATAAGAATTAGTGCAGAACTCAGAGATTGTACTTCAAAGAGTGGATACAGGGTCAAACTGGAAGCATTTGAAATGAAGTGCTGTGATACAGAAAATTATTGGGAACCTGTTGGACGTAAAGTGAGAAATAAAAGAATAAGAAACCCTAACTCTCAAAGGATTGAAACCGATCAAGCAATTGAATATAATGTTTTTTATAACTTTGTCACAATCTCAACACAAATGAACTGATGCCACTATATTACCTGTTCGTGCTTCAATTCATTTTCCAATTTTGCAATTTCTTCTTCAATTTTTTCAACATCTTCTTGTAGTAATAAATGTTCCTATAAAACAGATCAAAATTAAATTTAAATTAATGCAATCATTTATTATAAAACGTTTGCAGAAAACAGTGAAAACACAAAAAATTAAAAATCATTATTAAAATTAAATATATAACTAAGCTGAAAAAATCTGCTATTGTCATCATTAACCTGTGTTGTCAACTCATGTGAATCCTGAATCTCGGAATCATTGTCTGTTTAAAAAAGTAATCACAGGAATAATTAAAATTTAGGCAAAATGTTTACAGATGATTTTTATAGAAATGTCTTACACAATTCCACATCTAATTTAAAAGCTTTTGCAAGTTCTTCAATGCATGATTCCAACTCAGATGGAGTTTTGGATCTGAAAAATACAAAAAAAAATACAGATTGTCATTGTGGTGATTCAATCAATGTTATCAATTTGTTTTTTTCCTTATTAAATAATTTAATTTAAAAAAGAATTAGAACACAAATGTAAAATACAAACAAGAAAACAAAAATCATTGAACAATCAGGTACATTATATGCATATGAGCACATGAAAAAATAAAAATTTGATCATTTTATTTTTGATATAGTTATAGTATAGTACATTATAGATTTTTGTTATAGTCATTTATTGTTTTAGCTTACACCCCATGCAATTTCCATGAGTAATTCTCTCGGAGATGATCAATAAATGAAGAAATTTCTTTGAAGCTTTCGTAGAAGCCCATTTCGAATTTACTTTGACTGTTGTAATTTAACTAAAAAACCAAACTTTAAAAAAGCTGTTGTCCCACTTTCAGGTCTTCGGAAAGCAATCCTATCAAAAACACATCGTTTTAGAAAAGCCGCTAAATGATGTGTTAAAAGTGAACTCTGTTAAAGTTGGACAAAATTGTGATGCGCTAAACTTGAAAAAAAATTGAAATCATTGATCGGTAGTCGGAGATTCGTCACGGTTGAGGGGTTTGTAGCCAATTCTAGAAACTCACAACAATCCCACAACCAAATTTTTTACCATTTATTTAAAACCCTCATTAAATGAGTCAGTCACATTATGATTACAAAATAAAAATTTGGTTAGGAATACCCATCGATATCCACCTAGCAACCAGGACGGATCCCCGACTTAACCTCATTGATAATTTCTTTGCATACGTTTGCTCATACGTAAATCCGATATTCCTCTTCCAGCTAGATTTACAACTTTGCCTTCGAATCGCTATTCAAGTTCGATCTTAATTAAATATCGAATTGCAACAAACTCAGTTGGATAGCGTGAATGAACTGAACACATCAGACGCATGTTTCATATTCAATTGATACAAACAACGATCAATGTTTAATATTGACGTTAATGATATTTAAATACGACAATCTACAAACAATTCTACGAGATAATGTTAATATATTATGGTGTTATTGAAACACATTCAATTAAAAAAAATGTCCTAGGTTTCACATATTGATTGACAATAAAAGTATATATCTACCATTCTTGAAAAAATATTGAATTGTATAAAAATGAAAAGTGTAAGACGTACATGACCTATGGAGAAATCACGTTCACCTTCGTAGTAACCGTTATAAACTCTATATATTTCAATGTCCTATAGGTGCTACGTTCACTATATTCCATGTTTAAAACCTGAGTTGAACTTATTTACAAAACTGAATAAATCAAAATAAATTAAATTCCATTATACTTATCAATAGATGAAGATAACAAAAATAAATTACTTTATAAAATATGCTCATGCAACGCACACAGTAAACAAGTGACAAACTCAACAACAAAAACAAAATTTCTATGTGTTTCTAAATTCAAATTGAACAGCAACAACTTAATTAATGCAAAAGTTATAGAAAATAATTGCAAACAAACGTCTATCAATTTCAAATGAATAATTTGAAACCAGATAAAAATATCATCGCTCAGATTTCATTGGACAAAACATAAAGAACAAATGATGAACAATTTGTAATAGTTCCAAAAACTGACATATATTTGTTAAAAGTGATGTCCTATTCATTTAATGCAATGAAATTGATGCAAAGAAAGGAACATGTCAGAGACAAATTACCGGCTGGTCATTTTCAAAGTTTCCAGTGAGAAGGCGAACATCTTAGGTACGTAATTTTTATGGTATTGAATGTGACAATCTACGTTTTATGATTTCACCTCACTATACTCATAACATGTGGAAGAGGAAATGTAAATAAATTAGGAGCAATATGTAGAGATCCAAGCAAACAAAACTATAATACAGATATGAATGACGTTAAACAATGCACTATTAACATGAAATGACATCAGTTCTGACGTACTTTAAGCGTTTGTTATGCAATATTGTAATAATAAACTACCGTAACTCAACTTAACTGGCTAACGAAACATCATACGCGAAGTTGAATATTAAACAAACATCATTATTAACATATGCAAACTAATTAATATTCAGGAACCAACAATTTCAGTATTGACCTGAGTTAGAAGGTACAACAAACAACCTGAGATTAAGGACATTTATGGTGAGTTGTTGATGATGATCATGATGTTGTTGATGATGATGTTGATGATCGTAATGACATTATTATAATGGCAGTGACGTTGATAAATGTAAGGTGTCAGCTCAGATTACCGTCATCCTGCAACAGTGCGGTTATGTTGTTGTTGATTGGATCAAACGATGAAGATTTAATGTCATTCAAAATTGAAATTCTGATGAAATTTTACAAAAACTGAATTCATCATCACTCAGTCGGGGCATCAATGATAAAATAAGCGATTTTATCATTGTAAAAATTGTAATTGTAATAATTGTAATAATATTATATACCGAAAGTTAAAGATCTTAAAAGATCTGGAAATATAGAAAAACGTTTTTGAGAAAAATTATAAAAAGAAAGAAGTCAGAAATTAAGATTAAAGAACCATCTACCTACAGAGATGAATAGCCTCATTCAAAAACTAACATGACACGTAAAAAAAGAATAATACCCCTGACGTAACATGACACGTGACCTTAAACTGTTAAACAGGCGATATACCGAGATAACGCCATTTATTAAACAAAGCACAACATAAACTTGCCCGCCTGCCAATCGTAGAATAAAAACAGACAATATCCCAGCCAACAATAACAATAATCACAGCAACGTCAAAGAAAATTTTTCTGAAAAAATCAAATGCCAAACCACTTACTTACTTGCTAACACTCAATTTCAAAATCTTTAACATACACACATACAAACATATATACATACGTACATGCATATTTAACTTAATTATTATAATTTATATATTCATATTTAATTTATATATTTATATTCAATTTTAAGTTATAAATTCATACTTAATTTTAAAATATATATTCATATTTAATTCGGCACACAGGTGCATGGTTTTAAAGTTGTTTTTCTACAAGTTTATAAAAGTTATAAATCACACGTATAATTTGCGTTATTGGTTTCTCAATGCATACGCGCCTAGCATGGCCTCTCTCACCCTGTGCCATTTATGTTATAAACATTATAAATTGAGGCAGGATGGTACCTTCGTTAGACATGGTGGAAAAGTAAAAGGCTCAGAATGCCCGGAATCTATGAAACACCGACCTTTGACCAGGAAACGAAGGTCATTCAATGTCGGCAATGCAAACATGTCAACGACGAGTGTCGACGCAAGAGTTTTTAACACTGCTGTTGATTTGGAAAGTAAATCGTCCTTGGGTGAACATTTTTTTGAAAAATCATTTGGTTGTCATTTAATTGACCATATTCCTAAGCAATACCGTGGTAAGTTCGGCCGGATGCTGAATGACAATTGGAAAAACATCTGCGATAATCCATCAGATGATTCTCGGTGGTTCAGGTTACCATGTATTTCCAGCTTGGTTCTGCGTAAGGAGCTTCACGGAGGTGGACAACACAATATTAGCGCTAAAATTAATAGCAGAGTGGACACTTTTGTCAGAGATTCAAATGAAGAATTAATCGGTAAAATCTGTTGAACTAGTTGTAAAGGAGCAAGGTGAAATGATTCGCAAAGAAAAACTAAGTGCCTTAGTCAAAAATTAAAATAGAACAGGGCAACGTTATAAATGCTATGAGGACTCTAGCTTCGAAGGATACGATGGCTCCAGATTCGGCAGATATTCTCAATTCCCCAAAGGTCGAGCATCCCTCCACTCCGTTAGACAAAAAATCGAGTCCTATTAAAAAATCAATAAGTGTTACGGTTAATCCTCAGCCAATTATGTTGTGCTTGAGGCAGTTCCCAAAAGGAACCTCCGGAGGTAGAGACGGTCTAACTCCCCAGCACTTAAGGGATTTAACACATGATAAGTTAGAAACAACAGACCTAATCAATGAAATGATCTGTTTCATCAATCTGCAGTTAAGTGGCACTGCCGATTTTAAGAACTCTAAGTACAAGGATGTTAACAACAACACGAAAGTTTTTGTCCCGATTTGTGTGGAGACATTCAGCCCAGTTGATAAACAAACGCGATTATTTTTTATAACATAGGTACTAAGATAGTTGATAAATCGGGTGATTCTAGTGATAAAATTTATATAAAATATATCGTTGTTGTTGCAAAAGTATAACTCATTTTGTATTTTAGAGATTACTGCTAAATGCCTTTCTGTGGGAGACCCAAGACACTAATATTAACTATATAATGGTTTTTATGGCTATTATTATTAACCATGGGCTCGCACATACATACATATGTACATACATCACTGGATGTGGCCTGTTTCTCGAGAGTGTCAGGAAGTTAAAGGGCCGAAACACTCGTTGACGGAAACTCTTCCTCTGAAGACTCTTGCTGAACGCTCGTTATGTTTGAGTTTTTACATACATACAATATGGAGTATAGGGTCAGCGGTAAGTCCTAAAATGAGCAAAAAGTTCTATGCTTGACAAGCATTTCCATGCACATGTTCCACAAATCTATACACCTGTTTTACAACCGCTTAAGCCCGTCTGTTTTCGTCAAATCCTTTTTCAGCGAGGGCAGCAGTACGTGCCAGTCCAAAAGCGGAAATTACCGACTGGGTGAACTTTCTCCATTTCGAGCGCCGCAGAGCATCAAAACAATAGGCCTTGGGGTCTGAACTACATTTTTTCATATTTTCTTTTAAGCTGTCTTTGTATCTACGTACAGGGCCACTTGTCCGTCGATTTCTCGGCGTCAGTTGACCAAAAAAAACTTGCATGGGAATTCTTGTGTATGATATACATATAACATCCAACAAAACTGAGCTTGAAGCAAAAGTGATTCTTTACACATTGTATCACACTTTCCAGAACTATTGTGTTTGGGACTTTGTCTTCCAACCTGATACCAGCAATCATACACAGACACTTCATAAGAAACTGGTCTAGCCTACAAATGTGACGATGTAAAGCGTCCAGGGTTCACAGCCATACAGCAATATAGTGAGCACCACTACTCTGCATACCGCAATTTTAGTGGCAAGGATAATTCCGTACTCTTTTCAAAGACGTCCGGTCAACATGCCAAAAGCAGCACCTGTTATTGCAAACTTCGCAGCAATATTATCATCGATAGTAGCACTGTTGGAGATACATACGCGCGCATACATGCTTACATAACCACACACACACACACACACACACACACACACACACACACACACACACACACACACACACACACATATGTATATCTATATAATAAACTACATAATTAACATGTGTAAACTAAGTAACAAAGGTAATTACAAACAATTCCTATAAACAAATGTCATTAATAAAATTTTTGCTTTTACGACATTTAAATAAAACAAAATAAAACAAAAAATAATAGAGAAAAAATAATAATAAAATCAATAGCAACAACAATAACAATATTCACTACGTTAAATAATCTGATATTAATGTTAATTACACACACACACACACACACACACACACACACACACACATATATATATATTTATACACATATATATATATATATATATATATATATATATATATATATATACACATACACACACACACATACATATATATATATATAACAATTTCATCAAATTGTTTAAATTACCACTTTATATATTACCATTTTATTAGCTATCTTCATCATCATCCGCAGTATCACCATCGCTTTTACCATTAACAATTACACTACCATCACCACCATCATCAGCATCTCTACCATTAATTACACCACCAACAACAACGCCACCATCATTATCAGCAGAGACATCAACGTGAACAGCACTTGAGGAAACATCATTAGTTGATTTCTTCACTTTCTCTCTAATCGCTGCCAATGATGGCTGCGGAGGTGAGGATGATGATGAATACGACGACGACGATGATGATAAAAGTGATACCGTTGTTGGTGGTGATGGAGATAGGATAGTGAATATAGATAATGGTGATGATGACGATTGCACAGATGACAACAATGATGATGATGATGTAAGTAAACTGTCGGAGCTGTCAGAGCTTTTGAGTGAACTGGCTTTATCATATGATGACAAAGATGATAGTGGTGATGATGGTAATGAAGATGTAGTAATTTGCACATTATTCGACAATGTTGATGGTAAAGATAATGATGACGCCATAAAAGGCTTTGCCGTACAAGATGAAGGTGATGATGACGATGATGAAGTTGTAGATGCAAACAAAGTTGCTGGCGTTATTGTGGATGATAAAGATGGTGATGACGATGTTGCGGCTAATGCAGATTTGACAAATGATAAGAAGAAAGATGATGATGGCGTTGACGGTGATGCTGTGAATATTGATGTCAACGATGAATTTGGCGATGAAGATAGCATGGAACGTGATGTAAATGATGGTGGTGACAACAGTGGTGATGAGAAAAATATTACCGACGTGGCTGAATGTGATGTCGTCGTTGTGGATGATGACAATGTGGATGATAATGATGATGTAGACGACAATGATGTTGATGATAAAGATGATACTGCGAGAGATGATGAAGTAGAAAAGAGGGGCTTGGCAAGTATGCTTGAAGCCAGCATGGTAGGTTTGAGATAAACGAATGGTGGAGCAAACAGTGAAGAAGTGAAAGATGAGGATGATGAGGATAAAGATGAACGGTTCAGCATTGATGATAATGATGTTGATAATGTTGACGCCATGAATGAAGATGGTGGGGTAACAAATTGTGAAGTTGTAAATATGGATGAAGCTGGCGAAATGAATGAAGGTACAGACGAAAACAGGTTTGATGACGCTGAGAAGATGAATATTTTGTTGTCAGCCATGGAAAAAGTGTTGAATTTGCTGCTGACAGATGGATTTGTGGTCAGTGTAACAAAAGTTGTTGACGATGATTTCGTTGCGCTGGATGACATTGTTGTAACATGTTTAACATTTGATTTTGTCAACTGTCCAAAATCCAAGAAAGAAGAACAAGTAGCCAAACTAAAATGTGTTGATGTGGTATTGTTGATATTGTTGTTGATGACAGTAGTGGTGCTAGTGCAACCAAGAACCTGCTGCTGAATGCCACTCAGCATCTTGCTTCCACTACTGGTAGTGGTTGAGTTTTTAGTGCTGTGAGCAAATGTACCGCAGCCATTAATTGATTTGTTAGCAAGAGCTGTCTTGTGACACTCAGGAATATTGTTACCAATTGAAGAGCGTGGTTCATTTTGGCTTGGGTCACATGAAGTTGCTGGTTTAGCAAATTTAAGGGAGTGCTTTTTGCTTCTTGAGGCCTTTTGTCCTTTTTGTGGAGGAGATTGTGGCATGTTTTTGCAGTTGATATTTGGCTGAACAACATTCTTTGCATTTTCAGCAAAACTTAAAAAAGACTGATGAACTGCTGCAGTTGGTTGTTGTTGTGTTTGTTGCTGGCCACACTTTCTGCCATAAAATTTTGGCTGTTGAGGTTGCCGTTGATTGAACTGATGTTGCTGTGATTGAATTTCTTGCTGAAGGTCCATTGAATTGCTGGCGTTGGTGATGTTGGTGGCGGTGGTGAGGTGTAGGCTGACAGGCGTTGGTGATGTTAACCTAACTTCATATTTAATCTTTTTCAATCTTTTGTTTTTTGGTGGTGTTTTTAAATTAACTGGTTTTATACTTTTTGATGAATTGATAATTTTGTTAGAAGATTTATTCTTTCCATTTCTTACACTTTCCTCGAAAGCCACACAGATCTGGCCGTTGTTTTGATGTGGCTGAAAGATCTTCTGTGCAGCTGTTTCGTTGTTGTTTAAATTTTTGAGCAACATAGCGTCGGCCATTTCAAACAAGATGGCGCTGTTGTTTTTGTTGCTGTTTTTTGGATGATTGTTGATAGCGTTATTATTCTTTATTCTGAATCCGTTGGTCGTTATTTCATACTTGTTTGAGGACGACAACAGCTCCTATCGTTCGTGAAACATACAAAACCGATTAGAAAACTAATCAGTGAATAAAATATAAAATCAGTGAGCAACAGTTCACATACATCATCACAAAAGAAATAACAAATAGAAGAAATGATATAAAATAAAAAAATAACTGAAAGCAGAAATGTTAAGTACAAACATGCAGTGTTGGAATTGTGGGCTGATCCTCAGATCCTTGGGTGAGGTCCATCTGAATAGTTTGTTGGGGGTCAACTCATGGTTTAATTGTTTACAAAGTAATACAAATCACAACATGTTTATGTAAAATATGCTTATTTAAACTCACATCACAAAACATAGCTAATTAAAATTAATGCGTTAATAAAACGTATATTGTACCATGTACTATACACAATGTACTATACAGCATAACCTGTTAATTTATCTTAAATCTATCTCAATGACAGCCACAATTTACATTATGATGTCAATGCATCCCAAAAAAAACATTTGTGTATTTATATCACTATCGTCCAAATCGTCGACTTTTCTACAATTCTCTCTTTAGTATTCATCACTGCCATCAAGAACAAACACACAGCACACGCGAGCATGCGTGAGTCAAGGCATAAAAACAGCAATGCCAATCATCTAAACAGTAGCCACCACCATTGCATCGTCTATGAAACGAACTGTTTCCTCCTCCTCCATGCTGTTCTCCAGGTATGATATCTCATCCTGCAGCATGTATACCTTGTTCTCCAATCTTCTGTAGTCGTTCACAATGTTAATCACTTCCTGCAGGAAGCCCTTGCCATCCTTCACCACCACTCCAATCTAGTGTGCGTGCGTGCATGTGTGTGGTGTGTGTGTGTGCGCGCGCGCATGTGTGTGTGTGTCTGTGAGGATCAGTTTGATGGGGTTACGTTAGTTTAATTATTAACAGCTGTTTCATTAAACAAATAAATATGAATTCGGGACTTGAATTTCACTGTTTTCTACAGTTTAGAGACTTTCCTTACTATAGAAACTTGTCCCGTACGCAAACGAAATGATGTGTGACGATGTGTGGCAGTAATTTAAAAAATTATATCAATACAAAATAATTCAAACAAATTGTGGAGAGAGAACAACACAGACAATGATAGTAAAAATTAACTATAGAGATTAAAATGTAACTAATGGCAAATAAATCACAACAGTTTAAATAATAACATTAACCACATTAATAATTAGAAAAATGCTGATAATAACAATAACAGAAAAAACAAAACAAACAAAAACGGACTAAAAACGAACAAACAACAAAAACAAATGAACAACAAACAACAAATAACGAACAAACAATTAGTCAACATGTCTCATGTGTCTGAAGTACCATATTTTCAACAAGAACGAAGATAGAGCCTAGAGCCTCGGAAGTTTTTTTCTGAAAGAGAGCTCCACAAATTTCGCAATACAATAAATACAGTACAATGCAATACACTACGATACAATACAGTACAACACAATACAATACAATACAAAACAAACAAAATCCCAACACAGAAACAACCAACAAACCTCGTGTAATCTCTTATGAAGCAAATGCACACCACAACTTAACAGCTCATCCAACTCACATTCTAAATCTCGTTTCTTCATCACCAACCTCTCATTTCTCTCCTAAAAACGTTCAAGCGTGTTTTTATTTACCACAAACTTATGATAGACAAAAACAATTACACAAAATCAAAGTTAGCTGACAGAGGAAACACAAAAAACTGGCAAAAGATATCTCCAAACAGTCAATCAACCATCGTAACCATCACAGCACAATCATCATAGCATCCCATAATCATCATCACATTACAACACATCATCATTTTCACATCACCAGCACATCACAACACACAGCACGTTATCTACCTTCTCCATATTAATTTGTTGGATGAGTTGTTCCTTGTAATGTGGACTGCCCATGTAGTTTAGAAACATTAACATCTGCTTCTCGTACATGTCTGTCGGCATCAATGGGTGTGTGTTTGCTTGTTTGTGTGTGTGTTTGCTTGTTTGTGTATGTGTTTGCTTGCTTGTGTATGTGTTTGCTTGTTTGTGTGTGTATTTGCTTGTGTGTTTATATATTGCCGACAATGACTGTAATTCAATGGCAGAATTAAAATTGTAATTCATTTGAATGTAGAAAAAAAAATAATACAAACGAAACAACTCTTTCAAATTAATGTACAAAAGTAAGTGTGAACAAAGGAACGAATAAATGTATGAAAAAACGGATAAACAGGTGAAAAAATGGATGAATAGAATGATGAATAGATAAAAAATTAAATGAATAAACGAATAAATGAACGAATGGATGAATAAATGGATGAACAGATGAAAATATGAACAGTAGATTAAAATGGAGCAACAAACAGAAACCTACCGAGAAGAACCCTAAGTGAAGCACTGGTGTTGCTGTTCAACTGAATCATGGGCAGTGTAGCAGAGTCATTGCTGGAATTCTTGAGAAGACGTTGGTCGTTGAACAGCTTGTCTCTAACAGCATCTTGATGCATAAATGTAACATAAGTGTTTAAAAGTTAAAAAGTACCAAATAATAATTTACTCACCAGCAAAACCGTTATAGAAGAAAGTGCTTAAAAGTGAAAGGTGCATGAACATTCATCGATATTAAAAACACAGAACACAATAGAAACAAAACCAAAAATGACATAGAATAACAAGTACACTGATATTAAACATGAAACGTACATACCAGTGTATTGGTGTTGATCGTTGTTCTTGACGATTTGTTGATGGAAGAGGTGGAGGGCATTCAGCGTTGATGAGGACACTTTCTTCCTGTCCTTCTTTATAACTAAATTTCTCCTACAACCTGCATTCAACAACCATTTAAACCCTCAATATTAGTTTGTTTAAACTCTTTTCTTTTTCAAATAATTTACAAAACTATACGCTGGCGTGCAAAAATAATCTAATTGAAATCAGAAAAGTTATTATTATCATTTTAAAAAGCATCAACAGTGAAGAAAATTTAATAATTTAGGAACAATACTAAGAAATAAAATTTGTTCATTTCGGCAGTATTCGTGTGAAGTTAATTTGATGAAAACTGAGTACATGGATAATATAGTATACAAAATTATCACTGAATATGTTAACCAGATTAATTACTAGGACAGGAATGAAATGGCAATTAAAATAAAACAATCAATCAATCATTGTTCAAAGTCCTGTTCCAATTTGGCTTGGACTTATTTGAAAGGAACCAGATGACAAACATTTGCACACCAACCTCTTTTACATTTAATTGAATATTTTCGTGGCTGGTCTGCAAACATTGACTTCTTTTTATCCTGGGAAAAAAAAATTTTTTTGATGATTGCAATGAACAACTTTTACGTATGAGCTATTTGTATAGGAAATAAACACTGCTGATACGTAAAGACACTATGATATGTAGATAAAGATATAGGGGAAATATCAATTATCAACAGGAGTTGAACACTTGGAAAAGTTTTGATGTATCAAAAAATTAGAAAAGGCAAACATAAATTTAATTTCATTAATAGCACCTGACCTTTCTCGTGGTTACTTTTACACTGGAATCACCATCATCAATCTCATCATCAGCTCCGTCATCATCACCATCATCTCCCTCATTACCGAGAACACCAATCATCTGTTTCCTCTGCTTCTTTGTCTTTATGACTTCATCACTCGAGTCACTCTGACGATGGTGACGATGACGACGTCAGAATTTGTGCCAATTGATGATTGTTAAGAATTACTATGTATATTATAACGTTATAGTGCTTTGAACAGTAATCAAGTAGTTAATTATTGAATATTACAAATTTTCAAAAATTCTATTTGTAAGATTCTGATTACTTATAGAAAAATTTAACTAGTTATAAAACATAGAAAAAAGTGAAATGAAAGGGAAAAAAATTAATTGAAATTGCTAAACGATCGAGGTATGCTGCTGCAACGCATGAGATTAACTAACAATGAACATATGAACATTTAATTTGTACGCCAGCCAAAATTTGCATCATAATAAAAATCGTAATCATTGCTAAAACCGTCATCGTCATTCTAATCATCCTCATCACCGTTCATCATCACTGTTTTCATCATCATGATCGTTTATCATCACCATTGTTATCATCATCGTGATCGTTCATCATCATCATTATTATCATCATCATCATCATCTTTCACCATTTTTGCCGCCGTCATAAACAATGTATTTTCTATTTTAGTTATGTAGTTCAGACAAATGCAGAGCTACTTGCACATTGCTACTTACTTTTAAATATTAGCTGCAATTAAAATTTGGGTTATAAAACACTAAGGCCGACAGATGATACATCCGTACGAGCAAATATGTGCTAAACACACACCCTATAAAGAATTGATTGCAAGATAGTTTCTGAGTTTTCTGCAGATTTCGAACCAGGTCAACGCATAACAACAAAGCAAGCTACTAATGAGCCAACCTGTCAAACATTGCAATCAAAATCACCATCATAATTTTTTGTGACGTCACCATCATCATTAATGTCGTCATCATCGTCATCGCCATCATCTTCATCACCTTAGATGATCCATTCATAATCTTCCTCTTCATCTTCTCCCCGTTGCACTTCCTGTAATTTCCTTCCGAGTTACTCTTCAAGTTTTTAAAGTACTTCTCCAACTGTTGTGAGAATTCGCAACAAGAGATTGCTAAAGGACAACAAAATTTCATTCTAACATCAAAGACATCTGAATCAAAAAAGGACATTAAAATATCACCAATCAGCCAAACTACGTCGTCATGTCACGCTCGTTCATCACTACTATCTAACTAACACATCAATAATTTAGTATACTTACATACATTAGAATTTATTACTCGTATTATCTTACCACCATAACATAAATATTATTATCATTATTATTATTATTATTATTATTATTATTATTATTATTATTATTATTATTATTATTATTAGGAAACGGCATAGACATACCAGCGATCGGTCGATGGTGTGGAGGTAGTATGCAAATGGTTTGTCCGTCCACGAGACAGCGGCGGGCAGGGCGGTCAGTTCCTCAACAGTCATGATTGTTCCTATGTCTGGTCAGATGTTAAAGATGTGTGCGTTCGTGCGTGTGTGTGTGAGTACGTGTGCGTGCGTGTGTGAGTACGTGTGTGTGTGCGTTTGTGTGTCTGTGCGCTTGTTAATTAAACGGTATAATACACTCCTATACGTTATGGCAACAAGATATCGCAAAAAAGTCATACCAAATTTAATAGGACACAATAACGATAATAATAATTCGAGAAACGATTGGCAAGATGAACAAAAACGACAAAATAACAATCAAACCAAACATAACGCCCCAGCAAAAAAAATTACAACACGGGTTCTGAAAGGAAGACAATCAAGCAACCTGATAAATTTCTATCTGTGATGTGGAAGTTGAGTGGGCAGAAAGCTCTGGATGACACGATTCTGGCACCCTCCTTTACGTTTGCAAACCTCAACTTTAACTGCGGCAAGTTCAGAACAATTAACTAACTTATCATCCCTGGCTACTATGGATCAGATATCATCGTAACAACAGAGTTTATAAAAAAATATAGAGTTCTGTAATTTAAGCCTGAGCTGGTGAAATGAACGTATGAATAAGTAAATTATTACCAAATATATGGATAGATAAATAAATATGAACTAGTGATTTAATAGGTAAGGAGTGTAAGCGTAAAAATTTTAATTTAAATAACAGAATGAATGAATGAGTGAATGAATGAAATGAATGAATAAATGAATGAATAATAAATAATAAATAAATGAACGAATGAGTGGTACGAATGAATGGTGAATGAATGAATAAATGTATGAATATATGAATGAATGAATGAATGAATGAATGAATGAATGAATGAATGAATTAATTAATTAATTAATCAATTAATTAATTAATGAAAGAATAAATGTATGAAATAAATGATGAAGGCAAACCTGGTGATCAACATGTGGCCCGAACGCAAAGTTGTTGACAAATATGATGCTGAAACATTAATTAAATGTAAAGATTAAAAAATTCAAAAATTTTCATCATCAAATTTCAGATGGCTACAGCAGTGCAAACAGAGCAAGCAGACGGGACAGATTAATGTAGGTAGTGGATGACTTCCACTGACGTCTGCTGCAGGTCCGTCCCTCTTTCAATCAGCAAACTCATCAGTATTAAAACATCAATAGTTAAGTCTAGAAAAAGATAACACACGCACACTGCCAAATGTTATAAAAAAAAACATCAAATTTAGAATTGATTTCTAGTTTATGTTCCGGAACGTAATTGCTTAAACATCCTCATAAATTTAATACCTCGGTTGTCTCAAATAAAAGAGCAGGTATGTTAGCTATTAAAACCATACATATTCAATTCACATAATATTTAAAAATATATATATTCACGATATGGTTGTGTACTAACATATAAATGTACATTATGAAAATTGCATGCAAACCTCACATGCATCACATACAACCTGGCTGAATTGATAATCTCCAACTTATCTTCATTGAGGAAGTCCCCCCTCTCCAAATGAAACATGCCATGTCGCTTGCCGTAAAAACTCATCCACTTTAGAAACTCTCGTGATAGGTCCTGGCAAAAAAAAATTGGTTTGTGTGTGAGGCCACTGCAACAACTACATTGAAACGAGACTGTGTGTTTGTTGCTACTCATTCATTCAGTGCTATTACATACGTTGGCAGGAAATTTGATGAGAAATTTAATTGAGCAGCGTCATTAAATGCTAAAATGAGTTACGTTGAAGAAATAAAACAATTGCCTCCACAACAAATCCATTTTAACAGTCACAAATAAATTGGGATCATCATCATCATCATCATCGCCATCATCACCATCATCGCCATCATCATCATCATCATCACCTTGGAATACTTAGCGGGCCAATCAGCTTTTTCAATACCATAACAAAGTTTACAACCTGTTGCTGCAGCTACTTGCAGAACTACCTGGCCGACACCTGCAAGTTCATTCATTCATCCATCCATCCATCCATTCATTCATTCATCCATTTATTCATTCATTCATCCATCCATTTATTCATTCATTGGTTGTTGTATCGAGCTATTGTGACATTCATTCATTTATTGGTTGTAACTTTTCACAATGTTCTGACATTTGTATGAATGACTGTTGAAAAAGTAGAAGAAAATCAGTTTTAGTACATTCTGTTTGCAAATTTGATCTATGAGAAAACTTATACTGATAGCAACAACAGAAAACCATCCTATCTATAGAAGTAGATTTCCTACAAGTTTGCCTTCCTACTAAATGGAAACAAACACCAATAAATAAGAAATTGAATATCATGAAATTGATTTAATGTAAAGAATGACCAGATGAAATAGGCACTAAATGGAGAAAACAGAAAACAAGTGAATAAAACTATAATGGAAATGACCAATTATATATTAGTTAACTAAACAGATGAAGAGAACTCACCACTGCCAAGGTCAATGAATATGTCCTCCTCGCCGAATGAAATGACCTTTGTCAGTTCATGAACCAGTTCAAAACTTGTTTCCCCATAAACCTGGATTGAAAGTTGAAGATGGCAATACAGTTAGTGACCAATCCCAAACAAGATGGATGGAATATTAAAATGATAAATGTTGAATATTAATGATAAAAAAAAAAAATTGAATCAAATCCACATGAGGGTTTCAACAGAGAATTGTATGTAAAAAGACTGGAACCTCAGGAGAAAAAGGTTCATATTGGTTGAGTTTGTCGGGGTCCTCGATGGCTCTGTTGTAAGAAACTTGCAGAATATGTTTCAACAATCCATTGCATGCATATGGCAGGGACGGTGATAACAAGGATGGTGATGAAGATGATGACGAAGATGGTGAAGAACAGGATGATGAAGGCAATTTCATAGATCCCCATTCCTATATTTAATGTTATTAGACCACAGCCCATTTTATCTTTGTAATTATGTTGGTTGGCATAAATAGAATAGAATAATAGAAAAACATGACTTTCAATGGAAAAATTTAATCATGTTTTGAGCTTCACAGTGCTTGATAAATTATTTATAATAGGTAATTACAAGATAATTACACGATAATGAACATGAACTGAACATAGTTGATAATAAATGTGGTATTGTATATATATTGATGTATATTATTCACAATTTATGGTTATGCGATCCTTATACAAAATGACTTTTTTATATGTTAGAGTACAAACATAATTTTAAAGATTTTATTAAACAACTTTTGGAATTTTTAAACATAATATTCCACAAACCAACTGCCTCAAGCCATCAATGGCTCTGTTGTACCTGTCGCAGAGATTCTTCATACTCTCGTAACTGCATTCATTGTATAATATGTATTATTGTATAGTATGTATAAAAACGGATGTATTTACATCATCAGAGACTTTACTTAGTTTTTGAGAAATAAAAATCAAATCGATTTCAAACGAAAAACTTTACAATCATGCTGTCTACCCACGATTCAAATTTCTGACGATGAATAAATAAGTCATAAAAACCTTCTTGGATCGTATACAGTCAGAGCATCAATCTTCTCCAAAGCTTTCTTCAAGTCTGGCACATCTTCACAAACCCACCTGAAAAAAAAATCAATGAAAATTTAAAAAAAAAACCACAAACAATCATATTTTTTTTCAATTATACACAAAAGCAATTTATTTTAGGAGCCAAAACAAAACTGCCACAAAATAATTAACTCTAATGAAAATGATACAAATTATAATTACATAATGTAATAGGCATATGTTGGTATATATTGATATGTATAAAAAATATGAGTTAATTATTAAATTTGTCTATTGATAAAAATATATATATATTTTTTAATATATTTAATATATATAAATGATTTTTAATATTATTACTTTCTACTTTCTAAGAAAAACTACTTCAAAAAATGTAGAGCAAGTTAAAACATGCCAGCATGATATAAATAATAAAAAAAATGTTGTATAAAGTAGATTAAATTCATCCAACTTAGAATCCTTTAATAAATAAAAACAAAAAATATTTTAAAACAAGTCAAATGAATTTTTCCTGACAGAGTTGTAGAATTATGCATTCATTTATTTAAAGTAAGAAAAAAATTCATGAAAAGCTAAAAAAATTACTTGATAGTCTCGATGAGTTCATGGCTTTCATCTCTTTCATCCTATTTAAAATAAAACAAATAAAATTAATTCATTAGAATTGGACGTTTAAGAACAACTGGTTTGCTCAGCCCATTAAAATCTAAAAACAGCAATTAAGAATCTTGAAAAATGTTGTTAATTATTTTTTAAAAAATTTATTATCTAAGACAATATTTTTACATTTTTACAGTTTTTTCATTATCAAGAACACAAATTTTTCAACCAAATTGATGTAATTTTTTGTCACATAATAAACAGGTAAGTTAATACAAAATACATGAAGCTATGAAATAGAAGTCTTTCTAGTTTTAGCTGATAAATAACCACAGATAGATTTAACAAACTCTTTTGAAAAAAAAAGTTTAATTTGAAATTTTCTGACGATGATGGATGAAGACTAAAGAAACAATCTAAGGGTTTATTAACTAAGAAACAATCTCATCTTGATTGAAAGTTAATTTTTCTATTTAGTATGTAATTAAATATAGATTATTATAGATTATTATTAGTTACAAAAAACTGATTTAATTTTGTGAGCTGTAAATCCATTACTAATTTAATTTTAAATTTTAATGTTGTGTAAGAAAGTAATGAGTTAATAAAATAGGCATGAAACAAATAATTAGAATATGTTCTTACTTACATAATGACAAAAACTTATTTAATTTCATACACAGCTAACATAAAATAAATAAATATAATTGCAGGTGTATATATATATATATATATATATATATATATATATATATATATATATATTATACATTTTACTTACATTTTATTCCTTTTTATTAAAGTTCAAGTAACTGTTACTAAGTAAGTGACAGATCAAGACAAAACCAGTCATGAAAAATGAATTGATCCCTACCCTAGTTTTGTACCTTACCCACACTACTGAAAATTTTTTATAATTATATACAATCTTTTCTTACAAAACAATAAATAAGAAGAGAGTGAAGAACAGATACATACACATTAGTAATAATATATATATATATATATTATTATTATTATTTTATATTAATTACTATTACTTACACCGTAATGCACTCTACACACACATACAGAGAGCAGACAATCATTTGCATAATATTACATTATTGCACCTTTGGAACAAAATAAGAAACAAAATAATTGCACAATAACCAACTGAATTAAAATTAAATTGAATTGGACCCACCCCTATGACCAGTGGCCACTTGTAGTTCACGGACTCCCCACCAACTGGACTATGCAATTTCAGCTCCAAACTCATCGAATTGATTCGTGTTTTTCAACATCTACAAAATTCCATGCTGACACACGATAATAAATAAGCAAAGCACAAATTTTATTTAAAAAAATTACAAAATTATTTACAAATTATTCAAAAATTTAAACATTCATACAAAAAAACATAATGTGGAGCAAAATTTTAAGCCCAGTAAAGTTAGCAGCATAACTCTATTTTAAATATTTATTTTCTCCTAATTTCATGATTCAGATACGTTTATCCTGAACTTTGACGAGAGAGTGCAAGAAACTAATCAAATTTGTATTAGAACAGTTGAAATTAAGCTGGTAATCAATTTTTTGCCTATCATGTTAATTTTTGGTCTATTTTTGACTAAAAACTGAGCTTCATTAACTTTTTAAAAAGTTACCAACTAACGGGAGTCATGGCCCCATAGATAAATCTAGTAAAAAAAACTACCAGTCTTATTCAATTACTAAAAATTCATAACGAGTCCTCCTCTCTAGTAACAATAGTAATCTTCCTCTTGACCTTTCTTCTGCCGTTGATAGTATGTGATCATACTATTCTTGTGAGACTGCTAGATCATTCTGTTAATGTTTCAGATTTTTGTCTTTGGTTTTTTTTTTATCTCTGAAATAGTTTCTTTTTTCTGCTGTTCTTAATAAGGCTACTTCTAACCCTCTACTCTTATTTTTGGGATACCTCAAGGTTTTATCCTTGGCCCACTTCTATTTATACTCTATATCTTTAAACTACCTCGTATTATTTAATTTTTTTACTATCAATCAATCAATCTGTGAAACGCTTATTCAGCGCAGTTCAACAGCGCTCCTCAGTGAGTTTTGCAAACAGATAGGTCTTAAGATCCGTTCTGAATTTCGGGATGGAGTAGTCGGAGAAGGAGGTAGAAAGTTCTAGAAAAAATGGCCAAAAAAGCAAAGGCAGATTTAGCAAAAGAGTTAAGAAGAAGTGAGACAAGAAGACGATCGAAAACCGGGGCGTTTAGGTTCAATAAATATATCTAAGTACTTAAGAAATAATTTAGACTGAGACTTATACATTAATGTGCAAATTTTAAAAATTATTCTATATTTTATAGGTAGCCAGTACAGAAGAACAAGATGGAGATATGTAAGAAAAGAAAGGGGCACGAGCAACCAGACGAGCAGCAGAATTAAAAGCGTTACTTGATGTTTCTCATAAGTTTCGTAGTTTAGGCTTTATCTTTGATTCTAGCATGTCTCTTTTTTTAAGATTAATAGTGTTGATAAAAGTTCTTACTATCATCTACCTAAAAAAAAAAACTCTTGTCTTTTCTTGATGATCCTACACCTCTCATCATAGATATATATATATAACATCCATGCCTCTTATTCTTGTTACTTCATTAGTTTTTATTTAGTACTGATTACTGTAATCATGGATATATTTATAACCATGAGTGTAACTCGCTCTGTAATGATCTTCTTGATTCTACACTCAAACCCTTAAGTAAAGACTTTAACTCTGCTGTCCGTCTATAGTTGCTCGAGCCCATCTTTATTCATATATCTCCATATCTTGCACTTTTCAAAAATTAACAAACTCTTGTACTGTAATATAGAATAATTTTTAAAGTTTGCGCATTAATGTACAAGTCTCAATTTAAATTAATTCATAAGTACTTATCAGATATATTAATTATAAACGTAATACAGTATTGTATGAATTCTACCGAATTGTTATCATTAATCAATTTAAAATTAGTCTTTTCAATTCTCCTTACCAGAAATCTTCTAGTAAAATACTGTATAAAATATAGTCTCGCTCTCACTTCTTAATTCCTGTTAAACACTCTTAGACAAATCTGCTTTTGCTTTTTCTGGCCCTTCTCTCTGGAAGTCAATACCGCCTTCTATAACTACTTCTCCATTACTTACAAAGTATAGAGCGGATCTCGAGATTCATCTGTTCAAAAATTCACGGAGGAGGACTGTTGAACCTCGAGAAAATAACGCTTTCAAAAATAATTGATTGATTGAGATAGATAGATAGTTTATGAATAGTATCATGTTAGTTAATGTGTAGTTATATTAATACTATAGTGCTATTATACAATTGGACAATAGTTTATGGGTATTTATTATTTTGTAAAAATAAATATCTAAATTTAAATTCAATAATATATCTTATAATTGATTTGCAGTTAGGCTCTGGTGATAAAAACTTCAGTTATCCACCCTTAACCTAAAAGCTAATGCTACACGAATTTCAGTTAATGTAATAATAATAATGCCAAAGTACTGTGTTGCTGTACTTACTAGCATTTAAATTTCATGGCATATATTTGTGAAATGTGTTAGTCATTATAAGTTGTAGTTGTTAGGTTGTTGGTACAATTTTTTATCTTAATAATTTATCGGAAGTTATTGAACTAGATTTAGATTTTGACTTGGTCTAATCCCAAATAAGTCATATTGGATGAATGAACGAATGAGTGAGTGAATGAACGAATGATGCGCTTCAATTCTTAAAATGGCCGCTTGTTGATGTTTTGCTGTGTGCGGCCTATATAGATGCTATGTGCCCAAAGTTCGCTTAATTAGGATCCCCCATTAAACTTAGACACTTCATTTATCTTAGGAATTAATAGCACCGTTATGCTGCGACTTGTTTTTTTTTTACTTGTGATAGTAAAAAAATAATGAAATGAGTGATAACTTCTACTACCAAATGGACGCCACCCCAGCTGCAAGAAGATTCAACAACGACAGTATCGTCGATGAACTGGAAGGAAGCAAACTGAGAGTTCTTTTCAATGTGGGCAGCCATTTTGAAAGGAATGAAGAGGAAAGACGTTCTTTGCCTATCAAATTTACTGTAAAAGGTTCAGAAGAGTTAGTGTCATTTTGGCATTTTTTTAATTAAAATTAAATTATTTTAAAAAAGTAATAAAAAAAGATAAGTGGTTGAATTGAGTTTGATACACAAGAAAGGCTGGATACCATGGATATTGGACAGAGGGCAAACCAAATAAAATGACTTTGTTGAGTAGATGAAATTTTATTATTTCAAGTCAACTTTTAATTTAATTTACAAATTATTAGATTAATCATTAATTACATTTGTATTAATTTATTGAATTTAATTCATTTTATATTTAAATTACTATTATTACCAGAATGTCTAAATAGAAAATAATTTTAAACAAATTAAATTTAAACATTAAAACATGTTATCTTTCTTATTTTTTTTAATATTCAAATAAGTAAATATAATACACCAATGCAAATATAAATAATTTAATTAAATTTTTTGTAAAGATAATGTTATTATATTATAACAATAAGCTTATTTTATTGTTTAAACTCCAAAGTACAATTTAGCATAAAATATACACGATATAAAAAGCAAGAAAAAATAAAAAATATAAAACTCATTCATTATATATAACAAGATGCTCAACTTTTGTCATTTTTGGCTCAAAAATAGAATTTTGTGCAAACTTTCATAACTATTGTTTTTTTGTCTTAATGATTAATCAATTATTATTAGTAATAAAAGTAATTAAGTGTAAAAAAAGTTCAGTTTATAGGAGGTGTGAAGAAATGGTTCAATTGAATGAGCTTCTATTGTTAATAATCAATCAAACTTTAAAAAAAATGATTATAGAGTAACAATAAGGTGTTAGTGTTTGCAAGCATTGTATTATTAAACTCTACAGCTGATTTTAACTATTGAATCAATTTTATTAATATAGCAATTCTGGAAAGTTTTTTTTAGAAAAAGGAATATTATTTGAAACCATTTAATTCATTTTCATTTTTAATCAATAAATTTTTGGCAAATAACAAGGTAAAAATTATTTGTAAAAGTTGTGAAGAATGAAATATTCCTTTCTCTGTCTATGTACAAAATAAAACATTATTTCCCTCTAATAAAATGTGATAAAACATTTAGTAAGTTATGCCTTTTTGTATAATTAATTTTATTTTTAAGAATGCATATTTATATATATTTTATTTATTTATTTATTCATTTTATTATTTGTATATTTGTTTGTTTGTTAATTTGTTTATTTATTTTTCAAAATTTCACTATAGCCACCATTTATTTTTACTTTACTGAGCCCATCAGCTCAACCAGCACAAATTCCTGTAAGTTGTTGATCCACCTTGTTCATTGTTCTTTACCAGCATCAGCATCTATGTGTGTCAATCATCTCCAGTTCTAACATCATAAACCACCAAATAGTTTTTCTATCCCCAGCAAAATGTGTCCCATATAAACAGAAAAACACAGAAGAAAACTTGCCATTTACATACTTGTACTGCATAACACTGCTCACCTGTTTAAGCATGTCCTTTCATATTTGGATGCGTTGTGCCTGCTGTGCGTGTTCTCATTCAACATAATTTTCCATCAAACTAAAAAATATGTCTACATCAGTTGTATAAGATAAATCAATATATAACTCTCTCTCTATCTTTCTCTATCTTTCTCTCTTTTTTTCTCTCTCTCTTTATATATATATATATACATACATACACATATATACATACATACATACGTACATACATACATACGTACATATATATATATATATATATATATATATATATATATATATATATGAAGACCGAGGAAGACAGAGAGAGAGAGAAAAAGAGAGAAAGATTAAAGAGTTCATGTAGTAGTTTGCTTTGATTGGCTGATGCATATCTGCTGAACGTTTTCCATTGGTTGAAAAACTCAGATGTTCAAAGGTTTCTATCACAACAACATCAGCACATGAATATTTATGTGCATTCCTTTATTTTGTTTAATTATATTTAATTCTTCCTTTTGAAAGATAATTATACCTTTTTTGTAGGGTATGAAAAGTTATTAATATCTTTATGTCCATTTTTGCGGTTTTATTGTAAATTTCAGCAAATGGACCTTTTATTTTGCAAATGTAATGTATTCGTCATAATTTTCATCATCCTCTTCCTTCTCCTGTTCATCAACATATTTTCGCGTCACCATATTGTATTTTA